TAAGAGCAGCTGGAGTGGGAAGCAGCAGCTCACAGTTGAACAGGTTTCACTGTTAAAACCTTTGGAGAGAGGAATGTTGAATTGGAGGGAAAGCAGGATGATTTTTAACTCCGGGGAAAATGAGGAAAACAAATACTGTCTTTGAGAATCTATCAGTATATTTATGGTATCATTGATTTATGCCTCTAATGTAAGTATTTCTTTGAAATTATTGAAATGAAGCCAACCAATATCTCTATTTCCCTCGCCCTTCTTTTTTTCAGAGAAGCATCATTGCCTGTGAAACAAACCACTCGATTTTTCTTTTTCTCTAAGCATGATGAAAGACTTCATGGTGAGTGAGTCTACTTTCCCAGTAAATGGTAACCACACAGCTCTTCTTACTGTCACCCCCATCCAGAAATGCTGACCCTTTGTAGCATCCCGTGGTTCTGCCACCTGCTGACTGCTGCACTATTTTTAGGACCATAAAAGTCCACATGGGATTACATCAAGATAAACGAAATGAATGCCAGGCCAAAACTCCCTGGTTCTTCTGGATAATCCAGCTTTGTGCTCCTTGGCAGAAAAGCACAAGGGATCTGCGGTCCTGACTGCCCTTCACTCCTAACTTAAGTGTCAGCTCGAGATTCTGGCCAGATCACAGTGAGAAGTATATTCAAGAAAAGGGATATGAAGTTTCTAGATGGCCTGAAGAGAAACCTTCATCATACTACTGCTGATTTGATTGCCGGACTCCTAAAATAGCCATTTTCTGATGAATAATAATGTGGAGGCCTTGGTTATGACCTGTGTCAACAGCCTCTGTACTTCCAAATTGTAATGTGGAGTACATCTCAGTGGCTGCTGGCTGGACACCCATTTACTGCTTCATCTGTGTTGCTTAACAACTGACACTCAAAGCTTTATCCACAGAGATCAGTTATAGCACTAAAATTTCTCACTTCCTGAAAAATAATGTCTTACTTATAAAAAGTGTCAAGTTAAAGAAGATAAGTAGGGCCCTGCACGGTGGCCTAGCGGCTAAATCCTCGCCTTGAATGTGCTGGGATCCCATATGGGCACCGGTTCTAACCCCGGCAGCTCCACTTCCCATCCAGCTCCCTGCTTGTGGCCTGGGAAAGCAGTTGAGGATGGCCCAAGGCCTTGGGACCCTGTACCTGCATGGGAGACCTGTAGGAAGTTCCTGACTCCTGGCTTTGGATCAGCGCAGCACCAGCTGTTGTGCTCACTTGGGGAGTGAATCATCGGACAGAAGATCTTCCTCTCTGTCTCCTCTTCTCTTCTGAATATCTGACTTTGCAATAAAAATAAATAAATCCTTCTTAAAAAATTAGTAGAATTGAAGAAAATAGTCAACTAGAATTAGAGATCTTAATAATTCTGAACACTAGATATTATCCATTTTATAGTAATTCTGTATTTTCTCAATAGGTTCTGACTTATTCTGGAGAGGAGAGGGAAATAATGCTAGCAAAAGTTCCTGGGAGGCCAGAACACATAGCCTGCTGATGGTGAGTGCTTGCATTTCCATAACCTTGACAATCGCAGTAACCTCTATAGCCTAAAAACCTACACAGCCTGCTGTATGGTTCCTGAATACATTGAAACAGTGTACGCTCACTAACAAAGACCTGAATTTATGATTTTTCTAGGACTGTCGGAAGAAACATAAAGAAGCAAAAAGAAAAGTGAAGCTAAAATAATGTCATCACTGAATTTGATTGGAAATGTGGACAAGCTCACCTGAGGAAATTGACCCAGAAAATAATTTTGGCTGACAGAAGAAATTTAAGAGTGAAACAAATCTTCAAAATGTGGCTGGTAGAAAATCATTCATGTCGCCATCTTTTTTCTGTGGAAATCCTGTTTTTCTTCCCTAAATAATTACTTCAGAAAATTGAAGTTTTACAGAACAGTCCCCCAAAATATGAGAAGTCTTTTTAAAGTTTGTGAAAACTGTATGTTTGTAGTAAAACTATGTCTGCATCTCAAAACTTTATACACCAAATACATTTATTTTTAAATGTCATCCTCCATAAACTTTGTAAAGTACCCGTACCTTTCTTGTAAATAGTCTATTAGCTCTCCATCCTTAATGAGCGTTTGATAAACAATTTATCTGAAGCTTTTTAAAATAAATGGGCTAAAACATTTGTGTTTTCCAAGTTACACTTTGTGTGAATTCTAGGTTATTTTAAATAGTTCCGATGGTTCCAAATATGCATCACTAGCTTCTTGTTTTTGTTTAAAAGAGTGATTTACAACTTTGAGTTTTATTTCCTGTGTCTTGATGAGTGACTCACTGAATAGCGGGACATGTCACTCGATAGCTGAGTTCTGTGAAGCCCAGGGATGGAAGACATGTACAGTTCCCTGTCAATGCAAACAAGCCTATTCATCCCAAACATAGAGCAGTAGATGATGAGAAATAGTTTGCTTTTGTTATTACAATTCAACACCCAGCATGGGCTATGTACAAATTTTCAAAATATATTTGCAGTTCGTGGTTTTGGAGGCTCACAGTCCGAGATTGGGCAGACCTCACTACTTCAGGCATGTGGTCAAGCTGGAGGATGGCAGCTGCCTGGCGAGGACACAGCAGTTACCTCTCATGCCAGGAGACACACGAAGATTTATTCATTTGCCTACATTTATTTTATTTGTAAGAGTTACACGGAGAAAGTGGGAGAGACAGAGAGAGCGTCCGTGTACTCATTCCCTCCTGCAGTGGCAACGGAGCCTGGAGGCCAGGAACCCAGAGCTGCTTTTGGTTCTGCCGTGTGGGGGCAGGGAGAACATCTCCACTGCCTCCCAGGCACGTTAGCAAGGAGCTGGATCAGGAGCGGAGCAGCTGGGACTAACAGCCTCCCATATAGGATGCCAGCACCAAGGTGGCAACTTTATTGTCCACCCAACAGTACCAGCCCCAAGATTTATTTTTTTATGTATTTGAAGAGTAGAGTTACACAGAGAAGACAGGGAGAGGGAGAACTATCTTTCAGCCAGTGGTTCATTCTCCAATTGTTTGCAATGGCTAGGTCTGGGCCAGGCTTAAAGCCAGCTTAAGTGAGACCAGAGCCAACATGGGATGCTGATGTCACAGCTCAAGGCTTAACTGGCTATGTCAAAATGTCTTCCACATAGGCAAGGTTCACTTTTATAATCAGCCTACTTGTTTTTGTTTGCTTTCTTTTTAAATATTTCGTTTTGGTTGGGAAGGCAGATTTACACAGAAGGAGACAAGACAGATCTCCCATCCAGGTCTGGCACAGTAGCGTGGCAGCTAAAGTCCTTGGCTTGCATGCGTGGGGATGCCATATGGGCACTGGTTTGTATCCTGACAGCGCTGCTTCCCATCCAGCTTCCTGCTTGTGGCTTGGGAAAGCAGTGGAGGATGGCCCAAAGCCTTGGGACCCTGTGCCCACATGGGAGACCTGGAAGAAGCTCCTGGCTTCAGATTGGCTCAGCTCTGGCTGTTGCAGTCACTTGGAGAGTGAATCAACAGACAGAAGATCTTCCTCTCTCTCGTCTCTGTATATCTGCCTTTCCAATAAAAATAAATAAATCTAAACAAACAAAAACTTGCAACCACTGGGTCAACCCCCAAAGCAAATAAGTAAGAAGCAATGGCATTTCCATTCCACAGTTCCCGCTTTGATTAAAAAAAAAAATCAAAAATCACATAACATAGTTGTAATTGGATTTCTTGGATTTTCAAATTTTCCAAAAAATCAATTCAACTCTTAAGTCCAAGTGGTATATTTTGAACACAATTAAAAATTTCAGCCATTTTTATTCATTTGACTCTTTCCAGACTTAATCTTTCCATACTTTGCAACAGTCACTATAGAATATTTATCAAACCTATTTTTAATATTTATTTTTATTGGAAAATCAGATATACAGGGAGGAGAGACAGGAAAATCTGTCATCCATTGGTTCACAAGTGGCCCCAACAGTCAGAGCTGAGCCTGGAACCTCTTCTGGTTCTCCCACGGGGGAGCAGGGTGCTTTGGGCCATCCTTGACTGCTTTCCCAGGTCACATGCAGGGAGCTGGATGGGAAGTGGGGCTGCCGGGATTAGAACCGGCGCGCCCATATGGGATCCAGGCAAATGAAAGGAGAGGACTTGAGCTGCTAGGTTTCTGTGGTGGGCCCTCTTCAATTTTTAAATCAGATTTATCAGCCTAGCTCTCCACTTCCCCTGTTTTCCAGGGACACAGCTTGAACGCCTCAGTCTTGCTCCAGGGTGTAACCTCAGGAAATCAAACATCTGACATCACATTCCACACACTACGTATGTAGGCTCCTCTGATGGAGGACAGCAAGCCACTCTGAGTATTCAAGTAACTTGAATACCTACTAGACAACTATCAAGATGTTCTTCCTTCCTGAGGAGGTGCTGTCTACTGATTCCAACCCACTGGGTAAAGCAGTTTCCCAGGGAATTACCCGTGAAGGATGCCAAGCCTAAGAATGACAATAAATAAGCTAATGTTTTCATGACAGGAAACATTCTAAAGTTCCACTATGACGTGAAGGCCGGCTCCCCAGCCTCCCTTCTTCTGCCACAGGAAAAGAGGCTGGATTTGGCTTCCCAACAGCCAAGCCCTGATGTGGTGTTTATGGCGTTATTTACATTGGAGATAAGGCACAGAGCTGAGGGGTCCCGCTGGATTGCCACGCAAACAGGATAACGAGCGAGCGCTCTCCCCCAAGAAAATCCAATAGGGTCATTTTTTTTTTTTTTTTTTTTTAGTGGTTTTTAGTGCTGGAGTCCACTCGGCACCACCGACCCCAAGGCCCAGGGGGGCGCCAGCCCAGAACCTGCTCCTGAGCTTGGAGCAGCATTCCAGGCAAGCACAGCTTTTCATGACTAGGACTGTGGGCGTGGTCCCAGGAAAGCCAATCAGGGCCAGGCTTGTTGGCCTGTGGAAGGCTGCGCGCTCTGATTCGCTAGGTGTTGACCGGCCCTGTGCGCTGCCCGCTGTCCCGGGGTTGCATCACCTGGGAGCGCAGGGCCGCGGCGTGGTCGGCGGCTGCTTTCCAGGCTAGCCAGCCCGCAGGGGCTCTCCAGGTACGCTGGGCTCCTCGCATGCATCGGGTCCCCGCCCGCCGGGCCTTCGGGGGACGCACATTCCCGGGGTTCCCTGAAGGCGCCAGAGCCTGCGCGCTGGGCCCCATGTGTGCGACTCGTGCTGCCCGCAGAGGCGAGGGTCGCGCTCGCACACTTTGCAGTCCTGGGAGAGTAGGACCCGATTTTTTTTTTTTTTTTTTTTAAGATGGCATTTTTGGAGAACTCCCGGTGGTGCATTGGTTGCCTATCTGTGATTATTTTGGAGGACGGAGATTGGGAGGCGGCCTAAGGCGGGTTGATTCCTTGGGCCGCGAATCTCAATCTTCAGGAATTCCTTAGGTGTGCTGGGGGGTTCTCGAACCTTGGACGGTTTTGAGAATTGAGGGGTGTGGAGCACGCTGGAGAAGTCCAGCTGGTGGGCGAAGTTCTTACTAAACCGAGGCGTTCTTAAGAGCAGGGCAAGGTCGGGATCTCCCTGCCTGGCAGCCGTGGTGACATGGGGTCCTAAGGGCTGACTGTGGGGTCCTAAGGGCTGAATGTGGCGTCCTGAGGGCTGACTGTGGGGTCCTCAGGGCTGAATGTGGCGTCCTTGCTCCCGGGCTCACACACTGTCTAGTAATACAGCTGGTAATTGATTGGTTCCCCGCCACCCCGACTGAGCAGCTCGCTTCAGCAGGGCCCAGCCCCAAGCTGTTGGGGGCAATTTGGGAAGTCATCCAGCAGACGGGAAATTAATGTCGGAATAAGTTAAAGGGGGTGGGGGAGCGGAAGAGTATGAGATTTTAAACAAAAACCTTGATGCTTCAGTACGCTTTTCCTGGGTGTGTGCAAGTTAATGAGCTGAACACAATGCAAGTTAAGGAGATATTGCCAAACTAGAAGTTTAAGGTGTGGTGACTGGGGCAGGTGGCATCCCGAGGGTATCCTGGCAATGTTAATGTACTGCCCTGTGGTTGCTGGAGACTGTTGTGCCAGTACAGCTCTCCAGTGGATACAATGGGCCAGAGCAACCCTGTGATTTATGCATGGAGGCTGTTTCTCTTCCGCAGCCGCCATAGCCCGGTCACTGGGACAGGGCTCTGCCTGGGATGGTCAGCGCTCATCTGCTGGTTTTAACGTTGGGCATAATAGTACAGTGATTTACTTCGTCTTGAGAGAGTAGAAACTGGCTAGATAATTCAGCAGCTCAGAGCTCAGAGGAAGTGGTTCAGATGGGTGTCTGTGACAAAGTGTCAGAACGGAGTGCCAGTCCCTAGGGGTCTTGTTAAATGCAGGTGCGAGAGTGCTTAGCCTAGCAGTTGAGCTTGCTAAGTGCACTTGTCTCACATGGAGCACTTCAGTGCATTCCCTGCTGTAGCCCTGACTGCAGTTTCTAATGACTTCAGTGGAGTTCTTCTGCTTATGTGAGGAAAGCCGGATTGAGTAACTGGCTTTTTTTTTCCAGGCTGTAACATCATTGGAAAGGGAAATGGTGGATGGGAAATCCCTTATCTTTGCAACTGTAAATTAAAAAAAAAATCAAATAAATAAAAAACCTGTTTTTTTTTTTTTTTTAGAAGTAAGCTTTGAGTCCTAGGTCGGTGGTGGGGCTAACAAGTTGCATTTTAAAAAAAGATTTCATGTATTTGAAACAGTTACAGGAGAGTGAGAGAAGGAGAAACAGAAATTGCCGTGCACTGCTTCACTCCCTACATGGCTATTGTGGGGCTAGGGCCCAGCCACAGTGAGGTCAGAAACCTCCCAGGTTTCCCACATGGGTACAGGAACCTAAAGCCCTTGGCAGGCCTCTACTGCTTTCCCAGATATGTTAGCAGGAAGCTGGATCGAAAGTGGAGCAGCTGGGACTTTTGGCAGCGCCCATGTGGGACGGTGGTATCGCAGGCAGTGGCCTTACCACTATGCCTCAATGTCAACCTCAGCGTGTAGACATGAGCTTTCAGAGACCCAGCGTTGAGTAGCAGCTCTTATCAGTGATGGCAGTGGAGGACAGGTATGGGCTCCGTAGACCCAGCGTTGAGTAGCAGCTCTTTCCAGTGATGGCAGTGGAAGGCAGGTCTGGGCTCCATAGACCCAGCGTTGAGTAGCAGCTCTTTCCAGTGAAGCAGCTCAAGTGCTTCAGAGGTCTGGATTGAGTTCCAGACTCCTGGCTTTGGCCAGGCCCAGTATTGAAGGCATTTGGGGATTGAACCAGCAGATAGACTATCTCTTCCCTTCAGAAAATTAAATTAAAGTGTAAAAAAATAAAATGAGACAAGTGAATATATCATTACCTTAAAGTCTATTAGTCTTCAAGTATAATCCTGTAAATGTCAATGTTTTTTTTTTAAGATTTATTTATTTATTGGAAAGTCAGATATACAGAGAGAAGGAGAGACAGAGAGGAAGATCTTCCATCCGATGATTCACTCCCCAAGTGACTGCAATGGCCACTGCTGCGCCAATCTGGAGCCAGGAGCCAGGAGCCTCTTCCGGATCTCCCACATGGGTGCAGGGTCCCAAGGCTTTGGGCCGTCCTCGACTGCTTTTCCAGGCCACAAGCAGGGAGCTGGATGGGAAGTGGAGCTGCTGGGATTAGAAAGGCGCCCATCTGGGATCTCGGGGCGTTCAAGGTGAGGACTTTAGCCACTAGGCCACACTGCCGGACCCAAATGTCACTGGTTTTTTTAACAAGGTAGTCACTGACCCAATAGGACACTTAACAAGTCAGTAAATGCAAACTCGAACACTTCTTTATTTCTTTTTTTTTTAAAAAATTATTTCTTTATTATATTTTTGACAATCTTTACATAGTTAATTAGGGTAAAAAGGTACAAGGGGTATAGGAAAGTGGGCAAGACTATTATTTCCATATTGTTTCATTCATACATCTGAAGTAAAGGGGATATTGAGGGAGAAGCCCCACCCAGTCTCCCACCCACCCCAGGTCCCGGATGTGGGGCATGATCTGAGATACTTGCTCAAGTGGTTTTGATAGTTCACCAGTAATGAATTGCTGCTAATCTCGCCACCCGAAGCACGATGAGATCATTGAAGAATCCTCTGATTGACACAGTCCCTCATAGTCTCCATTTGCCCAGTATTTCGCTGCCAATATATAGCTGAGGTGGTTGATTGACTTGTTCTGTCTTCTGTCTTTTCTTGGTTAGGTTGAACACTTCTCTCAATCCTTCAAAATCCAGAGGTTGGGTCCAGTGCAGCAGCCTGGTGGTTAAAGTCCTCTCCTTGTACATACCAGGATCCCATATCAGTACTGTTTTGTATCCCGGCTACTCCACTTCCCATCCAGCTCCCTGCTTATGGCCTGGGAAAGCAGTTGAGGATGGTCCAAGTTCTTGGAATCCTGTACTTGCATGGGGGATCCAAAAGAGGCTCCTGGCTTCTGGCTTCATGTCAGTTCAGCTTAGGCCATTGAAACCACTTGGGAGGTGAACCAGCATATGACAGATCTTTTCTCTGTGTATCTCCTCTCTGTAAATCTGACTTTCCAATAAAAATAAATCTTTAAAAAAAATCCAGAGGTTGCATTAAGAATTTAAAATGGAAAATTGCATACAGCTTGTATTTAAAACTACTTACTGTTACACTCTGGGTGCAGTGAGCTTTTTCAGTTTATTATGTGGCCAGCCTGTTCTTATATTTTCTATATAAAATTTACAGTGTCATGGCATTTGACATAGCTGTTAAGAGTCGCCTTGGGATTCCCAATGACATATCACACTCTGGGTTAGAGCTCTGGCTGCTGTGTTTTCATTCCTACTGATGTGCAAGTTCAAGTACCAGCTACCTGCTGGTTAAAAACATTAAAAGAAAATAAAAACTTGACCTAGCTTCCAACCGCAGCTGAAAAATTAATAGGGGTAACAGAAAAGGAGAGTCACTATCACAAGTCGTTTTTTCTTTTTTAACAGCTGAGTCGCTTGCTATGCTTAATAGGATTTTAGGAAGAACGGGCTTCAGGCTTATTTTACAGAGCGAAATTTCCATGTGCTGATTCATTCCCCAAATGGCTACAAAAGCCAGAGCTGAGCTTATCTGAAGTCTGGGAAAACAGTCAAATGTGGCTCAAGTGTCTGGGTCCTTGTCCATACTAGGAAACCTGAAAGAAGTTGGGGTTCCTGGCTTCAGCCTGGTCCAGCCCTAGCCATTGTGGTCATTTGGAGAGTGAACCAGTTGATGGAAGTGGTATATCTCCTTTCTCTGTAACTCTGCCTCTCATATGAGTGAAAAATAATTTTTTTTAAGATTTATTTTTATTAGAAATGTAGAGTTTACAGAGAGAAGATATAGAAAGATTTTCCATCCGCTGGTTTGCTCCCCAAGTGGCTGCAATGGCTGGAGCTGAGTCAATCTAATGGCAGGAGCTTCTTCTGGATCTCCTATGCGGGTGCGGAGTCCCAAGGCTTTGAGCCATCCTCGGCTGCTTTCCCAGGCCACAAGCAGTGAGCTGGATGGGGAGGGAGGGCAGCAGACACACTAACCAACACCCACATAGGATCCCGGCATGTGCGAGGTGATGACTTCAGCCACTAGACTATCACATTGTGCCTGAAAAATAAATCTTAAAAAAAAAAAGTTTGTTACAGGTGAAACTGTCCTAAAATTAGTAGTGGGGATTGTTTTACAGCTTTATGAGTATACTGCATTGCAAACTTTGAAACTATGTGCTTTACTGTATATGAATCTTAACTCAGTAGAACTAATATTTGAAGTACTAGGTAATACGGTAGTGTGTGCACTGCAATTGTAGAGTGTACTGCTGGTATAGGTTTCTTTTGACAGTGAATTTCTTTTGTCTTGCAGCAACAAAATGGTTCAACAAGTTCCAGAAAACATCAGTTTTCCTGCTGAAGAAGAGAAAATTTTGCAATTCTGGTCTGAATTTGATTGTTTTCAGGAATGCTTAAAACAATCAAAACACAGGCCAAAGTATGTGAATTTCGAATTCTTAAGAATAGCTTTTTTGGGGGGCTTAGTTCTGTTAAACTAGAAACTTTGTTCATCTTTGTTTTAACAGATCAGTTTCCTGTATAGTGAGTACTTACTACGCTTAATAAATGAGTTCCTAATCATTGGGGGAAATTTCTATCTCCTTTCTGCCTTTAGTGTAATTACTGCCTTTTCCGAAGCTCTTAGCCCGAAGTACCCTGCAGAACACTTCACCTAGAACACTAGTCTTGTTGTCACAGTTTGCATTTTATGTCTTGTGTGCTCAGGAGCTTTATGAAGTACGAGTTTATTCCCCAGTTTTACTGCTGAGATAACTCAGGACCAACAACTTGTTTATTACATGCAATGATGAATACAATGGCCAATGGAATGACAGGCTGTCCATTTCTACCAAAACTGTATGCTTTCTGAAGGCATACCTTAAGCAAATGTCTAGTAATGATGTCTGTGAGTTTCCTAAACTTGCTCCCCTTCTTTTCCCTAAAGGCATCCATAGAAACATGTCTGAAATTCTTGCTGTCTGCTGAATTAAACCATGTGCTTTAATTACCTCTCTTAGATTTACCTTTTATGATGGGCCTCCTTTTGCAACTGGACTGCCTCACTATGGACATATACTGGCGGGGACAATCAAGGATATAGTTACAAGATACGCTCACCAGAGTGGGTTTCATGTTGACAGAAGATTTGGATGGGATTGTCATGGTTTACCTGTGGTATGTTTCAGTCTCTGGCCTTCGAATGTTCTGGGTCTTACAGATGTAATCACGGTATAAAGTATTAAGTCTTTGTATGTCAGGCTTTTTTTTTTCCAACTTTGTTTCTGTTACATTATTTGTAGTTTATTTTCTAGGGTTGCTTGTAGTTTTATAAGGCAGGGTTATTAATAACCTTATCAATTTTTTTTTCAGGAATATGAAATTGATAAGACCCTGGGCATCAAAGGACCAGAGGATGTGGCCAAAATGGGAATCGCAGAGTATAACAATCACTGCCGAGCAATTGTGATGAGATATTCTACGGAGTGGAAGGTATGACAGGGCGTTTTCAGTTTATTTTATTGTTTTATGATACAATTCCATTGGTTCTGAGATTTCCCTTCCCCCAAAAGATTTGCTTCTAAAAGGGAAGTTGAAATGGTTTATGATCCTTTGCATGAAGTATTCTCCAGGGTGGTTGTGCTTGTGAGTAACGCTGGAGGGGCTGACCCTTTGTACTCTGGATGCCCAAGGAGTGTCCCCTCCCATCCCTCAAACCTTTAGCCTAAATTAAACTCTGTGTGCTTCCTTGATCTCCTGTGGATCTCCTACCTACACACAGTAGGTACCACACAAAATTGATTGTCAGTGTTTCGGTAAGATGTGGATATTTATCAAAATCCAATTTTGAACCATTTTTTATTTTTTAGATTTGCTTCTTTTTAATTGGTAAGGCTGATTTATGGTGAGAGAAGGAGAGACTCCTGTCCTTCCATCTGCTGGTTTACTTCCCAAATGGCTTCAACAGCCAGAGCTAAGCTATGCCAAGGCCAAGGGCCAGGAGTTTCTTCTGGGTCTTTCACAAGGGTACCAAGTCCCAAGGGCCATCTTTCGCTGGTTTCCCAGGCCATAATGAAGGAGATGGGCAGGAAGGGGAGCAGCTGGGACACAAGCTGGCACTCGTGTGGGATGAAGTGCTTGGAGGTGGAGGATTCGCCAGTTGAGTCATTGCGCTGGCATCTGTTTTTATTTTGAAGATTCGTTGTATGTAATTGAAAGATAGAATGATAAAGATAGACATTGTGTTCTCTTCCAGCACTTTGCCAAAGTGCATTAGGAGGAGGATGGATGGGAAGCAGATCAGCCTGGACTCAAGCCAGTGTTGTGATATGGGATGACTGTTGCAAGCAGCTGCTTGCCCACGATGCCAGCCTCTGCATTAGTGTTATGTGAATTTTTAAATATGTTACTCATTTTGTAAAGATTTATTGGGATGGGTTGCAGAGGGAAGGGGAGACAGGTCTATTGGCTGGTTCATTCCCCAACTGGCTACAGCTGCAAAGGCTGGACCAGATTGAAGCTGGGAGTTTTTCGTGCATCTGCCACGTGAGTTTAGGGTCCCCAAGCATTTGGGCCATCCTCTGCTGCTTTCCCATACACATTAGCAGGGAGCTGGATGGGATGTGGAGTAGCCAGGACTCAGACCAATGCCCATGTGGGATGCTGGTGCCATAGGCTGTGGGTTAACTTGCTGTGCCACAGTTCTTCCCTCCCTCCTCCCCCCTTATGTGAATTTGACTTTTCATGATGCCAGAGAGCTCCTGCCCTCACTTTTTCTTCAGGTTTTAGAACCAGAATTTTTCCTTTTTCCCCTGCCTCTCAGATTATTCTGTCTGTATGACTTAAAAACATGAGTGCTTCTGTTCTTTTCAATATGACCCACCTTACCTTTGACCTCTCAAACTTGGTGTTCCTCAGAGTTCCGTATTTGGCCACAGTATCATTTTTTACATTCTTCAAATGTTAATCCACATGATCAAAACCCGGAAACCATACCCTATCAAGACCTTGTTATCTCTTTCCTCATTGACATATTCCTCATGTTCTTTCCAGTAAGCTGCCATGTTTCTACCTTCATCACACTCTTCCTCTGCTCAGAAACGTCTGAGTGATTTCTGATTTCATCCATATGAGAGATCAGAGCTCCTGTTTTTTTCCAGTTTAACTTTCAGCCTTGTTACTTACCATCAGGAGAAAATCGTGAACAGGGTAACATACACAGGTCTTTTCCTCTCTTCTTAAATATTTGAAAAAATTTTAATTTTTCATTTTGAAATCATTTCAGACTTACTAAATAAATGCTATGAAGAGTTCTCCTACACCCTTCCTCCACCTTTCCCAATTTGTGCCATCTTAAGTGTCGATGGTACAGCTTTTCAAAACTAGAAAATTAATTTTGACAAGGGACTACGGATTCATTCAGATGGCACTCTTTGTGCCACATTTTTTTTTTTAATTTCTGAGTCTATGCAGTGTGACACAATGAATTTAGTTGTCATGTCTTTGTCTCCTTTAGTGTGGAACAGTCATTCAAACTTTGTCTTTCAGTCTTTTGAAACATACAGACAGGTTCTCAGTGTCTGATGTTTCTTCAAATTTAGATTATGCATTTTTGTCAAAAATTTAAAAATGCCATCTCCTTCTCAGTGTGTCAAATCAGAAGGCATAGCCCATTAATGATGATAGCTTTGTTCATTTGAGTATTATCAAGTAATACATGACTAGTGAATACATATCTTAAGGGGAGATTCTTTACAACTATTCTTCCAATCATACTTTCATTCAATAATTTTAGCATCATTTTGATAATTCCTACCAGTAACACTTCAACCTGTGGTGTTTGCCAAATAGTGATTAATAATATTATCTGTGTTTGTGGATGAATGGGAAGAAAACTGATCTTTGAATTGCATATTGTTTACAGTACAGATTTGCTTGAACTGTTGGTTATTCTTTCTAAAATGACTGTGTGTATCGACAATAAAAGTGAAAAGCAGCAGAGACCGTTGTCTGATACCTCTCCTTTGTGTCTTAAAGTCCACTGTCACCAGGCTGGGCCGATGGATTGACTTTGACAACGACTACAAAACTCTGTATCCACAGTTCATGGAGTCTGTCTGGTAGGTTTACTTCAGTGCTTATCTTAGTGAAGCTGTGTTGCACATGCGGGATAATTCTTTTGTGTTTTGCTCTTTCTTTCTAAGATTTATTTATTTTTTATTGGAAAGACCGATTTCCAGAGAGAAAAATATTCCATCTGCTGGTTCACTTAGCACATGGCTGTAACAGCTGGAACTGAGCTGATCCAAAGCCAGGAGCCGGGAGCTTCCTCCAGGTCACTAGACTTTGGGCCATCCTCTGCTGCTTTTTCCATGCTAGAGAGCTGGGAGCTGGATGGGAAGGAGAGCAGCCGGGACACTTGCAAAGGGAGGATTAGATAATTGAGGTTATTGCATTGAGTGTGGTATAATTCTTAAGCTTTTGACTCTGACATGTCTCTGTGGACATGTCCAGATCTTTATATCAAAGGACAGGAAGTCTTGGGGATACCAAAGATTTTGGATAGCGGATTTGCATTCATTAATAACAACTAGAGTTTCCCTATTCAGAGCATCTAAAATCAGGTTCTGTGTTAATGCATCTCAGAACAAAGCTCTAGATCAGAAATATTGAACAGTTGAGTGTGATTACATTTTTACCACATTTAGTAAAGCTAAAATTTTCATTTCAATAAATTAAACTTTTAAATTCACACATGAGTAGCATATACCATATTGACCAGTAAAACCATTGACCACAGTGGCCAGCTCTGGACTAGGGTGAAGCCATCATTCAGGGTGGCAGGAGTCCAGAGACTTGGGCCATCTTCTGCTGCTTTTCCCAGGCCACTAGCAGAGTTAGAGGAGGAGTGAAGACACTTGCATCAGATGCTGCTGTTGCATGTGGTAGTTTTATCCACTACACCACAGTAGTGGCCACAACAACCAGAGCTGAGGCGATCAGGAGCAGGAGCCAGGAGCTTCCTCTGGGTCTCCCACGCAGGTGCAGGGCCCCAAGGCTTTGGTCTGTCCTTGACTGCTTTCCCAGGCCACAAGCAGGGAGGTGGATGGGAAGTGGAGCAGCTAGATACAAACCAGCCACCCGTATTGGATCCTGGCAGATGCAAGGCGAATATTCAGCCATTGGGTATCGTGCCAGGCCCCTAAAATATATAAATCTTAAGAGAGAAAGAGAATGTACAATAGAAAGGCAAAATTAAATAGTGTTCTCACCTCTGTATTTTCCTATCCATTAAGGTATGTGAGTAATCATCATGGGACAATATGAGGTAACTGTACTGTCACTGCTTGTACAGTGTAGTGGGACACTTAGTTTCGTGCACCCCATTTTTTTTTTAGATTTATTTTTATTGGAAAGGCAGATATACAGAGAGGAGTAGAGACAGAGAGGAAGATCTTATGTCTGATAGTTCACTCCCCAGATGATGGCAACGGCTGGAGCTCAGCCAATCAGGAGCCAGGAGCTCTTCCAGGTCCCCCACGCAGGAGCAGAATCCCAAAGCTTTGGACTGTCCTCCAAGCGGTCCAAGCAGGGTCGCTGAGATTAGAACTGGTGCCCATTTGGGATTCCGGGCATGCAAGGGGAGGACTTTAACCACTACGCTACCACGCCGGGCCCCATGTATCCCATTTTTTTAATGTTCAAAAAAAAACTTTCAGCAGACTAGAAGAGATACTTGATCCTAATCCAGAAGGTTATTACTTTTTAAATTGCTTTGGTAATTATTTCATATAATGGACAGATTTCATTGAAATTTAGATAGTATACCAAATAAAAACAATGTTAAGAGAATATTCAGAAATGCCAACCTCAGGTTAGCCTGGCGACTAATGCCTGCTTGCCTGTGCTGTATCTCATATGAACACCAATTCGTATCCTGCTTCCCATCCAGCTCTCTGCTGGGAAAGCAGTCGAGGAAGTAAATCTTTCAAAAAAAAAAATCTATAAATGTTTTCAAGGTCTCATAAACCGTGAATATGTACGTAGATATGTGCAGATTTACATCACTGCTGTCATATTGGTGTGTCACTTGGTTTTCCCAGCAGCCTGTCATGAACTTCCGTGTCGGAGAGTGACATTTCCGCTCTCGTTTATGGGAATGGAATTTTTTCGTTATCTAATTGTTAATTTTCAACTCCTGCTAGGTGGGTCTTCAAACAACTCTATGATAAAGGACTCGTTTATAGAGGTGTGAAGGTCATGCCCTTCTCCACTGCATGTAGCACTCCACTTTCCAATTTTGAATCACACCAGAATTACAAGGTATGTGAAATTATGAAACGAATTAGAATTGAATGATTATCATCAGATTTCCATACAGCGCCAAGGTGGAAAGTTATCTGGAGTGTAAGTCCGACACTTCTTACTTAGTCCTGATAAGTAATACTTACCAATCCTTGGACAAAGAGTATATTGAGATTAAAAACACATGCACTATCTTCTTAAGAAATTTTATTTTTAACATAGGTTGAGAGGGATGCACAACCATGTGGGCCTTGATTGGGGTGGGGAGTGTTGCAGTATGGAGGAATTGGGGTGGGACAGATGTTGCCAGGTTTTGTTTATTTTTTTCTTCTATGCCCCCTGTAGGGGAGGGGTGGCACTCCTTGCTGTCAAACTATATCTGCACCCCAACATGGGAGACAGTCATCTGATGATACCTTAGAGTATTTCGAGCGTTGGTGTGGCTTGAGCGGTTTTCACAGTTCTGAGATGTTGTTGGCTTCATTGTGCTGGATTTGAGAAAATCTTTCTGTTAGTGACCAAGTCTACCTTAGTGCATCCACAGACCCAGGAACATGCTGTGAAGCTTGTTCATCCCGTTCTGCTTTCTGTCCTCTGACAAGGCACTCGACATCTGCTGGCTTAGATGAACTGGCTGTCATATTCCCCGTGTGCATCGAGGCATAGTGTCCACTGCACAGACATCAGCAATTGAGGAGACCTAGTCCTGACACATGCACTCCAAGGTTGGACCATATATCTTGTGATTTTCCCTGTGGCCAGGGTTTGAGTCCAGCCAGCTAGTTGGGTAGTCCCCTAGGAAACCTCTTCCAGGATAACCTCAGACTGAACCTTGTGTATGCCAGCCAGTTGTGTCAGGTTTGGTCTATCACCTTCACCAGCCAGTGCACATACTGGTAGATGCGGCTGTTCAGTTCTGCCCCAGCTCCATCTCTCATGTAAATAGCCCGCTTGGTCCTCACATATACCAGTGAGAGCCACGTCCTAGTTTGGATAATACCTAATAACCCTCACCAGATCTGTTCCTAGTCCCAATTTTTGTGTGTGCCAGCCTCTGCTGTGACCTCATCCAGCCCAGGCCACATCTTATCTGGCTCACATGCACACCCAGTGGGTAGCAGGCCATGCCACTTGGTTCAGCCAAGGCCCACATGATTTGGCCTGACTCAGTCATGCCCTCTGGTTTCCCTGCTCTAAACCAACCTTTCTCAGTTCTCTGGCTTACCTACAAGCACAGCGGCCCAGTCCAGAAGTCATTCCTCCGCTGTCAAACATACCCTCAGCTACCCCACTTCCAAAATCCCCAAGCCCCTTTCCCGGGCAATCTGCAGTCACCCCCACCAGGGGCTGGGGTGATGTGTCCCACCCTAGTGTTGCCCCACCTTCCTCATATATCTTTCTTTCTTTTTTTAATTGAATAGGTAACAATGCTGCACATTGGTATGGTTAACACAAATTTGGGTTAACCAATCCCAGATTACCTGCTAGCTACTGGGTCCTTCTCTGCTAGCAGTGTGACACTTGCCTTGGTACAAGGCAAGCTAGGCAGTTGCCAACAACTGGGGGAGTATGATTGATTTTACCATCTGGTGGCAGAAGCCACAGAACTTGGGCCATCTAATTCTACCTTCCTGATGAAGACGGAGGAACAGAACTTCCTTCCATCAACTGGTTCATTCCTCAGATGGCTAAAACAGTCAGGTCTGGGCCAGGCCAAAGCCAGGTGCTTCATCCAGGTCTCCCTGGGTCTGGCAGGGACCCAAGCACTTGGGCCATTGGAAAATGGCAGCTTTTCTGGGTCCATTAGCAGCAACCTGCATCGAAAGTGGAGCAGCCAGAATCAAACACAGCTATAGGGGATGCTGGCTTTGCAGGTGGCAGAGTAACCAGATACCACAATATTGTTTCCTAATCCATTCCTTTTAAAGAATGCTGGCTTGTTTGAAATTCTTGTTTTATGCCCAAGGTTTGGAAAGTATATTAGTGAAATTTATTCTTTTTTTTTATGGTGTGTGTTTATTTATTTTTTTACTCTTTCAATATATTTCCTTTTTAAAAAAATTCTTTTATTTTGGCAATCTTTACATAATTGATTAGGGCAGAAAGGGTCAAGTGCTACAGGAAAATGGGTAATATTATTGATATTTTAATATTATTAATATATTAATATTATTTATTTATTTTTTTCTGTATCCGGGATAAGGAAAGAGATAAAGGGAAAAGCCCCATCCAGCCTCCAACCCATCCCAGGTTCCCAACGTGGGGCACTCTCTGAGGGTCCTGCTCACACAGTGTTGATAGTTCAACAGTTCTGAATTGCTGCCAATCTCGCCACTCCAAACATGTTAAAATCTCTTCAAATCCACTGGCTGACATTGTCTCTTCATGGTTGGGGTTCTGAGATCAGCAGTTCAGTTGGAGGGATCCCCAGAGAAACTTCATCTGAGGTGATCCCAGACCTGATTCTTGTGTGTGCTTGCCAGGACAGGGTCCGACACAGTCTGTTGTCCCAATCAGCTTATGCACCTGCTGATGGCTGCAATTGCTGGGTCAGTTCTGTTTCCAGCCCCGTCTTCCATGCAAACCAATGGGTGTTGCAGTTTAGCCTGATCCTGCCACTTCATACTCAGCCCTCACACAAACCAGTGGGAGCTGCAGCCTACTCAGGGCAATGCCCATAAGCCCCACCAGGCCTGCACCCTGTCTTGGTTCCCATGCTTGTCAATATGTACCGCAGACTTGTTCAGTGTGTCCCACATCCCATTTAGCTCTCGTACATGTCAATGGGCATTGAAGCGTAGTTCAACCTAACCAACCCTACTATCCAGCCCACACACGTACTGGTGGGTGTCTTTCTGTCTAGCCACCCCTGCCCCTGTCCTAATTTTCATGCTCTCTAGTGGGAGTGATAACCCAAGAGGGAGGTGCCCACTTTTTCCCTTCTAGGCCACTCCCACTTCCTGATTATGCACTCTCCAGGTGGTTTTGGAGTTTAACTTGACAGAATTAGCCCCCAGTGCCAGCCTCTGCCAGTTGATGCTGTGGTAAGGCTCAACCAATCCTTACCCACTCTAATTTTTGCTTGCACCAACAGAAACAATCAGTCCAGCCTGGCTTTTCCCTGATCTAGCTTACATGAGGCTCACAGGTGTTGTAGCCCTGCCTGGTCTGGTCTGCCTGCAACACAGCTCATGCTTTCCAGTGGGATTGGCTGTCCAGCAGAGGAGCCCTCCACATTGGCCCTATCAGCTTTGTCCCCTCCCTCCCTGGTTTTCATGTGTGCTGTTTGGGCACTGTGGCCCAGTCTGGTACAGCTTACCTCTGCTTGGCATTTGCCATTGGGTGTTGTAGCCTGGCCCGGCCCGACCTGGCCCATCTCCAAATCCAGCTGACGCTGGCGAGGGTTACAGCCTAGCCCAGCCCAGCAAGCATCCAATCCCAGCCGTAATGTATATTGGTATACCTGGCCCAACCCACACTGTATTCTGGTGCTCAGATTTGCCAGTCGGTGATGTGAACTGGTTCAGCCAGGTCTGCCCCTGACCTATGTCAAACGTATGCCAGTGGGTACCTTTCCCTGGCCTGGTCTGGGCTGCTCCCTATCGTGGTTCTTGCACTCACCTGCACGGACTGTATTTTGCTAGAGGAGTTGCCCAGGTTCCTCATCAGAACCTCTCCCAATGCCAGATTTTGCGCATACTGGTGGGTCCACGGGCGAGCCTTATTTAGTTCACCTCCTGTCCTAGCAGGAACAGTGGCTTTTTCTGACTGGCCTTCAACCCATTTTGGTTTTCACTATTGGATGTGTTAGTCCAGCCAAGGCTTGTTCATACCCGGACACTATTCACACATGGCTTGGTAGGGGCAGAGACCTAGCCTAGTCCATCCTACATCTACCCTGGTCCTCCACAGCACCAGATGGAGCTGGAGTCTGGCCTGGTTAGGTGTACCCAGCCCCAGTTCACACTTGTGCCAAGGGAGACTGCAACCATGTCCAAACCAGAACCCCACCCCCACTCTAGCCCCAGCACTAACCAGTGGGAACCCCAACTCAGTGTATCTTCTTGGCTCCCCAGCTGGGTCTGTTTCCAGCCATATATTGTGCTCATGCCACTGGTTGCTCTGACCCAGCTTGGCATAGCCACTCACCTGGTCTTGGCCTTTGCCTTAGATGCTGTGGTCTAGTATCCCTGGCTCATGCAGACCAGTAGGTGTAAGAGCCTAGCTTGGCATGACCTGTGCTCCATCCTGATTTCTATTCTTGCTTGTGAGCTAAGGTTTGCTCGGCCCTTTCAGGTCTGCCCCCTTCCATTTGCAGCTCGACCCAGCCCACATCCTGTTTTAGGCTTCACATTCCGGTGTTGCTGCCTTGACCTGCCCAGACTGTTGTTGGTTCCTTTACCCATAAGTGATGGCAGGTTCCATAGTCACACCTAGCTCAGCCCATCACCACCCCAACTCTTGAGCTAACCAGTGAGACTTGTATCTCCATATTGTTATTTTCAGACTTCCCCAAGAGAATGTACCCCCTGATCTGATTCTCTTGCGTGTTGGTTAGTGTCTTCACCCTGCCAGGTATGACCCATCTCCTGTTCCACCACTCAGTCAGGTACTGGTACCTAGCCATGGCTGTCAGTGCTGCTCTATGTTGGCAGCCCATCTCAGTCTTACCATGTGGCTTGATGAATCAGTTTGGCTCAAGTAGAACTTACGGACTCTCCCCTCCAAACCCTCAGATCTCAGTCTCCATGCTTGCAAGCAAGTTCTGTGTCCCAATCACTAGGAATCACAGAGAATTCATCCCTCACCTACACTCATACTAGCCTTTCTCCGAATGTCCCTAGGCAGCAATTACATACTCTGAAAAACCTAGAGCTCACCCAAAGCCTAGGAGTCTCTCACCACGTGGCAACGGTGCCCAGTGGCTGAGTCCTGGGCATTGGGTCCAACCTGGCCCCGGCACTTTCTGCAAGCGGGTCGCCAGTACTGAGGAGGGCTGCTGTCATCTGAGTCGCCAAGGTCGAAGAACACTTTTCATATTATAGGATGCTTTCACATATCCCATTTGATACTTGCAAATCCTGTTTATGTAGGTAGGGCGATGATGCTTATATTTGGTTGCATTTTTATGTTATACTTTTTTTTTAGTAGTCAATGCCGTAAAAACTTTATAGATTTTTAGATAATATGCACAGATATAAATATATTATTCATTAAATACAAGATACTTTTTTCATACTTTGTTTTTATGAGATATATTTATTTTTTACTTGAAAGAGTTACAGAGAGCAGAGGATAGAGTTGGAGAGAGAGGTTCCATTTGCTAATTCACTTCTTAAAATGCTACAGTGACCACAGGTAAGCTGGTCTGAAGCTGGGAGCTGGGAGTCCCACATAGGTACTGGGTTTCAAGGCCTTGTGCCACCTTCCATTGCTTTCCCAGGTCATAAGCATGGAGCTGGATGGGAAGTGGAGTGGCCAGGACTAAAGAAGCACCTGTATGAGATACCAGCATTGCAGCCACAGTGCCTCCTTGCTCCATCATTTCTTAGGGAATTTGGTTTGGAATCTAAAGGTTCATACATAGCAATGAACAAATGATTTCTTGGGCTCCTTTTCCTAATGGGACTTTATTCAGGAGGCAGTTGGTTTGTCTTGAGAGGTGATCCATGCTGTCTTTCAGCTATTTATTTGATATATTTAGAAAGCCAAAAAACACATCAGAGACTGAAATTGAGCACTCCTAATGTGTTAGTCCACTGCCCAAATGGCTACAAAGGAAGCCGGCAACTCAACCCAGGGCCCACAATGGAAGGAAGCCAGAAGCCAGAACCAGAACTAGGACTCAAATCCAAGCTCTGCTACTTTAGGCATCTTAGTTATCAGCTCTGGTAGCCATCCCAAGAGCTGTATTATTTTTAACTTTTTGTGTTGAAACATTCTCGTGGAGTTGGAGCCAATCTTCTTGTATTAAATGAACTGAATTAGTAATTGGCTTATTGCAATTTCAATTATATGGTGATTTTAGTATGATTCTTTTTTTGATCGTTAAAGGATGGAAGATCTTCCTCTCTGTATGTCTGACTTTGCAATAAAAATAAAATAAATCTTTAAAAAAAATAAAAAGGAAAACCTTTTTCTAGAACAAGTTATTTTGTTCACCCAACACTTAGTGTAAATTAGGTAATAATCCTAAAATGTTTTGTATTGATGGCTACTAAATTAAGGAAAATTTTATTTAGAATTTGTTGCTTCATTTTTTTTTTTTTATAATAAAATTTATTTTGACATTCTTTACATACTTAGTTAGAGTAAGAAGGTTCAAGGGCTACAGGAACGTGGATAATACTAATATGTTTTCCATATTGTTACCTTCATGTTTAAAAGGGGGGTATTAAGGGAGAAGGCCCACCCAATTTCCCACCCTCCCCAAGTCCCGGGTGTAGGGCATGCTCTGAGGTTCTTGCTCAAGTGGCCCTGACATTGCAACAGTTATGAATCGCTGTCAATCCTGCCGCTCCAAGCACTATGAGGTCTTTGAAAAATCCACTGATTGACATAGTCCATCATAGCTGAGATGGTTGGTTGACCCGTTCTGTCTTCTCTCTTTTCTTCGTTAGGGTTCTGAGTCCAGCATTTAGATTAGGAAGATCTCCAAAGAAACTTCTTGTATGTGCTAACAAGTACAGGGCCTGGCACCGTCCATCGCTCCAATCAGCTGGTGGTTGCAATTGCTGGGTTAGTTCTGTTTTCACTTCCGACTTCCACTGGAACCAATGGCTGTTGCAGTCCAGCCTGGTTCTGCCCAGCACATACTTGGCCCTCACCTAAACCAGTGGGAGCTGTAGCCTAGTTGGAGCGACCCACAATAACCCCAACCAGGACCGCCCCTACTCTGGTTTGCCAGTAAGTGTAGCAGTAATCCAGTCTGTCCCACACCCCATTCCACCCCAGCCGCTGTTTAGTTTTATGTCCTCCCGTGAAAGTGGTAACCCAAGAGGGATGAGCCCACTATTACCCTCCCAGGCCTCTCCCACTCCCAGATTCCAATTGATGCTGCCCAAACAAACCTCGCCCACTTTAATTTGTTTGCACCAGTAGGAATAATCCGCCCAGCCTGGCTTTTCCCTGATCTAGTCCACACGGGGCGCACAGGTGTGGTAGCTCTGCCTAGTCAGGTCTGCCCCCATCCCAGCCCATGCTCTCCTGCGGAAGTAGCTATCCTGCAAAGGAACCCTCCCTTATTCCCCTGCTGGCTCTGCCCACTTCCTTTCTTGTTCTCAGGCTGGTTGGACGCTGCGGTCCCCTCCGGTACAGGCAACCTCACCTCGGCATTCTGTATTGTGCACTGGTCTTTGTTGCGACCGAACCTGGGTCGACCCACACTGGTGCTTGGATTTGCCAGTGGATGACGTGGACAGATTCAGCCTGGTCTTGCCCCCACGTCTGCCAAGTGTATGCCAGTGGGTAGCTTTCCATGGCCTGTTCTGGGCTGTTTCCTATCATGTTTCTTGCGCTTACCTGCCGGGTCTGTGTCCTGCCAGAGGAGTTGCCCAGGCTCCTCCATCAGAACCTCTCCCAATGCCAGGTTACACGCTTGCCAGTGGGTCCCTGAGCCAACCCTACTCAGTCCACCTCCTGTCATAGCAGGAACTGTGGCTTTTCCTGACTGGCCTTCCACCCAATCTGGTTCTTGCTGTTGGATGTTCCAGCCCAGCCAGGGTTTGTCCATACCTACGTATGGCTCACACATGGCTCAGTAGGGGTTTGAGACCTTGCCTAGTCTATCACACATCTGCCCTGGTCCTCCAGAACACCAGGGGGTGTTGGGGTCCGGCCCGGTTCGATGCATCCAATCCCAGTCCACACTTGTGCCAAGGGAGACTGCAACTGTATCCAGATCAGAACGCAGCCCCCCTTCCAGGCCACGCGCCTCTTTGTGGGAACCTCAGCCCAGCTAGGGTTGTCCCCTTTGCTCCCCAACCAGGTCTGTTCCCAGCCATAGCTCACTCGCATGCCAGTGGTTGCTCTGACTCAGCTTGGCACAGCTCCTCACCTGTCCCAACTCTGCCTTAGACACTGTGGCTTCGTGTCCCTGGCTCCCGCAGACCAGTAGGTACAAGAGCCTAGCTTGGCATGACCTTTGCTCCCTCCTGGTTTCTAGTTTTACTTGTGGGCTAAGGTTTGCTCATTCGTACCAGATCTACTCTGTTCCCTACCAGTTGACACGCTAGCCAGCCGTTGGAGCTACTTTTGTAGGACAAGCCCCAAGCCCAGGCTTCTGCATGGACTGGTACTTGGTGCCCAGCATTGTTAGTGATTACAAATTTTGCAAGGAAAAGTTACTGCCTGTTTGAGGTCCGAGAATCACAATGGGTTCAACCTGGAGCTAATTAAGCAGCGACTCAAAGAACAAAATCCCCAGAGCTCCCCAGCCGGGCGGCCAGCAGGCGGAGCCTGGCGCCAATGGCGCACTGGCCGCCTGGACACGGCTCACCATGTGCCCATGGCGGCCGTCCGGAATCCAGGCATGAGACGCCCCGTCAAGGTCGTGCCCCTCCCAAATCCCCTTCGCCGCCCGGTGGGTGCCGGACCTGCCCAGTCCCAGAGGCCTCCCCCCTCGGGTCTACTCACCCCAAAGGAAGCAGCCTCTGGAACCCAGCAGGCCCGGACACGGCTCACCATGTGCCCATGGCGGCCGTCCGGAATCCAGGCATGAGACGCCCCGTCCTGAGACCCACCACGCTTCATTTTTTTTTAAGATTTATTTATTTTTACTGGAAAGGTAGATATTATGGAGATAAGGAGATACAGAAAGATGTTCATTCACTAGTTCACTCCCCAAGTGGCAGCAAGGATTAGAGCTGAGCTGAGCTGGACCCAGGAGGTTCTTCCAGGTCTCCATGTGGGTTCAGGATCCCAAGGCTTTGGGCCTGCCTCTATTGCTTTCCCAGTCCACAAACAGGCCACTAACATGGGAAGTGGAGCATCCAGGGTATGAATCGGTACCCATATGGGATCCCAGTGTATGCCAGACAGATTTTATTCTGTAGAAACAGTTCTTTTTTACTTACATGCCTGTATGGATGTATAAAGTGGTATTTACCTCATTAAATTCCAGGATGTTCAAGATCCTTCAGTATTTGTAACTTTCCCTTTGGAGGAAGATGAAAATACATCTTTAGTTGCCTGGACAACCACTCCTTGGACTCTGCCTAGTAACCTTGCACTTTGTGTTAATCCGGATTTGCAATATGTGAAGGTTAAAGGTGAGTATTAGCCTGATGAATTATGACTGATATGAACATGATGATAATTCTTACATATTGGGAAAGTGTAAAAGTTTACATTCCTTTTTTTGGTGTAACTAATTCTTTTAAATGATGGTTTAATCAGAAAAATAACTTGCAAAACTTTTTTCCATTTCTGATCGTCAAATAGTACACAAAAGTTTAAATAGTACACAAGCATTAACAAGTATGGATTACAAATTTATCATTTGATTGGCATGTTCTTTAAATGTCCCTTATATGATGTAGTCCCTTTTAAGATTCAGTCATGGTCGTCACATCAGTTGGGAGAATTGGTACTGGAACCTGTGAGTTTTGTGCTTTTCAGATGCTGCCTGTTATGAGTGCTAACACAGGCTTAGGCGGACCCTTTTCCTGGAGCTTGATTCTTGATGAACAAATAGAGCTTTAAATTTGGATAGTTTGTGTGGAGATTCGCTTGGCCAGAAAAATACAAAACCTGTAGTTGAGCTGTAGTTGAGAAACATTTAGGTGGCTCTTCAGAAAGAATCAGTCTATAACCCAGCACCTTAATTTCTGGGTATTTTCTCCAAATAATTGAAAGTAGAGGCTTGCACAAATATATGTATACCCGTGACACTTACAGCATCAATCACAATAGCTCAAGTCTGCACGCAATACAAATCACCATAGATAAATGTAATATACCATACACACTCAATGAAATAATATTGAATTTGAACAGGAAAAGAATTCTGGCACATGCTCCAACTTGAATGAACTTGGAATGCATTCTGCTACATGAAATGAAGTAATTGCAAAGGGGCAAATAGTGTGTGGCCCCTTTTACACGAAGATTAGTCAAACACGATGAAAAAGAATATGTGGTGGGGATGGCCAGAGCCAGTAAAGGAAGTGGAGTTATTGGTCACTCTGGGTGAGAGGCCCTCTGTCTCCCCTTTGCTGGAGCCTCTTCTCAACAGGATCCCACAGGCCTCTGCTGTCCCAGCTACCCCGTTGGATGTATTCTGACAAAGGACATATATTATTCCAATATTCGTACTCATGAGATTTTGAAAGCAATTTAAACATTGATTTGTTAAAAGTAACTTCTGAAATCCTATCATGCTATATAAAAGAAAAATCTATGGACACTGGTTGGCGTATAAAAGATATTCATATTATATTAAATGAAAACAAGTTGCAAAATATATGGAGTATTATCTCACCCAGATTTAATAAGAATTTTTAAAAAGCCATGCACACTATCATGTTGTTTGTTAGTATATGCTTAGGAAACTATCTGGATGAGCAGATACCTAAAGGAGAATGTTCGCGATGGATGGGGGTGGGGCAGATTGCAAGGAACTGACTGTGAGCTACGTGGTTTGTCAATGAGATGAGCTATAACTTTGCATAGAGAAAATAAAGATTTATTTCCTTAGAAGGACGATCAACCGCCTGATTGCATTTTGTTTTTTTTTTTCTGTGTTCGGGAGGTAGCGTATCATAGCACTGTTTAGGGTGTTCCTGTTAGGGTGTCTCCTGGGCGTACTTAGCCACAGGGGACCTGGGAGCCTCGCAGGAAGAAATCTTTGTGCTTGCCTGTGTAGAGTTGGTCAGATCTGAATGTCACTGAGGTCCACTCTTGCCCTGTTCTCGTAGATACTGCTCGAGGGAAGTTCCTCATTTTAATGGAAGCCAGATTGTCCGCCCTCTACAAATCGGAGAGTGACTATGAGACCCTTGAAAGGTGAGTATTCAAACCAGTGGAGGTGTGAGTCTTCAGTTTGAGGGGGAAAAAAAAAAGACAGAATCTTTATTATCAAAAAGCCGTATTAGTCAAGTTTAGTTTTAAATACTAATACTTAAGACGTTCACATTGCGTCTTGCAACATTAATGACTAAGGAGCAAGCAGACCACAGTGAATGGTGCTTTGATGCACAATCTCAATGCTTTTATGTTAATCTAAATTTAGCTTGCCTTTCTCCTTTTTTCAAGGTTTCCTGGTTCCTATCTCAAAGGCAAGAAATATAAGCCCCTGTTTGACTATTTTGTGAAGGTAAGTTTGGGGTCTCGCGCAGGCGCTGTCCGCATTCATTTATTTGGTAACTGGAGCAATGTGAGGAATTAAACCCGCGTTGTCTTGTTGTTGCATTTTCCGTATGAATGCAGCTATGGTATTAACACACTTTAGTTGTTCCATCTTCTTGGTTTACAATTAAAATTGTGTGGAATTTTTTTGAAAATACATCTCAAATGATATAAGAGGTTGCTTTACATTTTATTTTATTTGTATATCCATTTCTCATTGCTTATGGTCTGCATTTTACTTTGTAAATATTTTGAATTTGGAGAATTTTTTTTCTGTCATTTATTTTACAAATTTCAGATCATGCTTGGGTAAAATGTTTCACGTAGATTTCATTCCCACGAAGGTAACAGAGTAGGCATTTTATATGTGGGTATGGTATCATGACCGAGCTCATGCATTTAACAACTTAGTTTTTTTTTTTATTTCCTAAGATGCATTTTTATTGGAAAGGCAGATTTACAGAGGGGAGGAGAGACAGAGAGGAAGATCTTCTGTTGATTCACTCCCCAAGTGGCTGCATTGGCCAGAGCTGAGTCGATCTGACGCCAGGAGCCCAGAGCCTCTTTCAGGTCTCCCATGCGGGTGCAGGGTCCCAAGGCTTTGGGCCATCCTCTCTTGCTTTCCTAGTCCACAAGCAGGGGACTGGATGGGAAATAGGGCTGTTGGGATTAGAAACGGTATCCACATGGGATCCCAGCACATACAAGGTGCAGACTGTTTGCTGCTAGGCTATCTCGCCAGACCCCAAGCTTGTAATGTTAGTGGTATTTCCAGTTGATTATAATTTGCACATAACCCGTAACACCATTAAGCTATGTCAAATAGCCTCTAACCATTAAGATTCTTTCTGAGGTATCTGACGCTAGGAGTAAATTTTGGGCAAGGATTACAAATTCTTTGACTTAGGAAAAAAAGCCATTTTATGTGCACCTTTAGTACACTTCCCATGAAATACTGCGTGTATCTGAGGTGACAGAGGTGGCCTAGGGGACAGTGCTGAGGCTCATGGGATGTCTGGACGAGGCCCCAGGAACAGGGACCCAGTGAGGCCTTCCTTGCTCCACACTCAGGACATGTGACATGCCTGTGAGCTCATTGTGCCATCTGATCCTTAGGATCCACGTGGTATCCTCTCTTTACATTTGAAGCTTTGAAGACATGCCTTTTCCCACTTTCCATATCCAACTTTCCAAAATATTTCAAGGTGATGCAGACTACCATAATTAAAAAGCCATAGTTTTCAATTTCAGTTTCAAATTCCAGAAAAATAAAGTGCCAAGTTGTAGTTGAAAGGAATGTTATAATGTTATAATGGAACCAAAAGGTCCTTGTTGCAGTCAAGTCCAAACTACCACCACGGCTGACATAAGTTTTGAATTAGCTCATCTGTGAAATGAAATTAGAGCCAGAAATATATTTTAAGGATGTGAATACTAATATTTTTTGCCACAGGGTTATAGAAACTCAAGGTGAAAGCCACTTAATGTCAAGTTTTTTCTACTGAGGCAGAGAGGACAACAAATGGCCAGTTTGGTTAAAGCAGAGTACGATGAAGTAACAACGGTAGCTCTCCTAGCCATCCTTGACTGCTTTCCCAGGCCACTGGAAGGGAGCTGTGAGGGAACAGGAGCAAGCGGGACATGAACCAGCACCCACATGGGATCCCAAGTTTTTACTTGTACAATGAAATACTTCAAGGCAAAAGAAAAGCAAATTGTGTGCAGTAATTGAAAATGTATCTGGAAACGAATTATTTAAAAAGTATACATTTTTTATGATTGATGAAAACTCAAAAATAGAGCCTTTCAGAGTTACAGGTAGGGCAATGCAGAGAGGGACAGAGACCTTTCATCCACTGGTCCACTCCCCACATGGCCACACATCCGGGGCTGGACCAGACGAAAGGTGGGAGCCAGGAGCTTCGTGTATGTCTCCCGTGTCAGTACACTGCTTTCCTAGGCATAGTAGCAGGAGACTGGATCAGAAGTGCTGCAGCCAAGACCACTTGGTGAACTATTTCTAAGTGATGAATCATTTATGGCAAGGAGGTATCATATACTTGCTTTTTTTTTTTTTTCCAACCTGATTAATTCTAATTCTGAAAAATAATTTTACAAGCCATACAAGTTTTTGCCATGCTCTTACTGGTAAAGCTAATATAATGGTATGACAAAGTGTGATGAATTCTTTTCCAGATGAAAGAAAATGGTGCTTTCACTGTGCTTGTCGACCACTATGTGAAGGAGGAAGAAGGGACGGGCGTGGTGCACCAGGCTCCTTACTTTGGCGCTGTGAGTAGCAGGAATGTTCAGACTTATTTGAGGGCTAAGTGTCAGTGACCACTTTCCATGGACCTTTGAGTCGTAGGTCCCATCATGCTGGACCACTTTTCTAGCTCACTTTCCACAGGGTGGCCTGAAAGTTTTGAGCATATTAGTGAAAATAGTGAAATCTGGGCCAGTTGAGGGAATCTTTACAGGTCACAGACGCTGCTGTGTCTTTGTATATTCAAGGTCATCTTATAAGCAAGAAATGCCTGCCTTAGGGTATAGAGTTTGCTGAGTTTTCACTAATGCCTAGAAACTTGCATTCATCAAACACAAATTGTCCTGTCAGCTCCGCTGTGCTGTTGGCCAAATACTACATGATCAAGAAAGCCTGAACCTTCCCTGCACATTATACTATATCTTGTTTTATTCAGCATGATTTTTTCTTTTTCTTTTTTTTTTTTTTTGAAGATATATTTATTTTTATTGCAAAGTCAGATACACAGAGAGGAGGACAGATAGAGAGGAAGACCTTCTGTCTGTTGATTCACTCCCCAAGTGACCACAACAGCTGGTGCTGCGCCGATCCAAAGCCAGGAGCCAGGAACCTCCTTCAGCTGTTCCATGTGGGTACAGGGTCCCAAGGCTTTGGGCCATCCTCGACTACTTTCCCAGGCCACAAGCAGGGAGCTGGATGGGAAGCAGGCCACCGGGATTAGAACCGACGTCCATATGGGATCCTGGCACGTGCAAGGCGAGGACTTAAACCACTACACTATTGCGCTGGGCCATGATGTTTTTCAAAGATGCGTTCTATTTCATGTAATTTTTACATAGATAAAAGCACCATAGCATAGGAATTAATGGCATGTGCTTGAGAATAAATCAGTTCTAACCTTTCTCCTTGACCCTGACTATTGGGAAGTTAGTTCCTGGGCAAGGTTTTCAAGTTGCCTGGATAACCTTCTGTGTAAACCTCATGTAGTAGACTCTTCTTGTTGGGATAACTGTTTGGACTAAGCGAATCATGCACACAGAGTATTTAATGTCTGATTCTTAGTGAGATGCACAAACAGGCTTAATCACTTTATGAATGAGAAAGTTTTGCAACATGACTGTTCTAAGAAGCCACAAACTAGGCTCAGTGTTACCCTAGTGGCTAACTCCTTGCGTTGTTCACACTAGAATCCCATATGGGCTCCACTTTGTGGCCTGACTGGGCCCTTTGCCAGGCAACTCTCTGCTTGTGGCCTGGGGAAGTAGTCAAGGACAGCTCAAAGTACCTTTGTGGGAGACCCGGAAGAAGCTCCTGGCTCCTGACTTCGGGTTGCGTCAGCTCTGGTCATTGCAAACACTTGGGGAGCAAATTAACTGACAGAAGATATTTCTGTTTTCCCTCTCTGTAAATTTGACTTTCCAACAAAAAATAAATGTTTTTTTTTTAAAAAAAATCAAAAACCAGTCTGTCTAAGATTTATTTGAAAGGCAACATGACACAAGTCTTCCACCTTTTGGTTCACTCTCCAGATGGCCACAGAAAGCAGAGTTGGGCCAGGCCCCACTGGGAGGGAGCCAGAAGACCCCTCTGGGTCTCCTGTGTGAGCAGCAGGGACTCCAAGACCTTGTGCTGCTCAGGTGCATCAGAGGGGAGGTACTTGAGGACTGTGGGCATCCCAAATGGTAGTTTAACTGCTCCACCATAACACCAGCCACTTCGTTTAGTCTTTCCTATTCTTCAAGCTTTTTTTTAGAAATATCAAGTAGACTGCTTTTCTAAGCCACAAGAGCTGGATGGGAAGTAGGGCCACTGGGATTAGCATTGGCACCCCATGACATCCTGGTGTATGCAAGGTGAGGACTTCAGTTGCTAGGTTACTATGCTGGGCCTGGATTTCACTTTTTCAATGGCTGCAAAAGCTAGAGCTGAGATTTTCAGAAGCCTGGAGCTTCTTCTAGGTCTCTCATTGGAGTGCAGAGGCCTAAGCATTTGGGTCATCCTCTGCTGCTTTCTCAAGAGCCTTAGCAGGGGTATGAATTGAAGGTGGAGTAGTGCACATGAAAACTCATGCTCGTATTGGATACAGCTCCATCAAGGCTTAACCTGCTGTCCTTCAGCACTGGCCCAATGGCTTTGAATTTTAATGTAGCTATCATACCATTGTTATTTCTATGTAATAATCAGTTTTTAAGTATTACTTAATATCCAATATATGTATTCAGATTGATTATATTTATGAATTTTAGGAACTAATCAGATATCAGCTTAAAGATTTATTGATTTGAAAAGTCACATGAAAGAATAAGTAGAGGTAGAGCTTCCATTAGCTGATTCACTCCCCTCCAAATGCCTGCGAACAGGCATGGTCGGGACGGACCCAAATCGGGAAGCTCCGTCTGAGTCTTCCAACTGGGTACTAGGGACATAGGTACTTGAACCATCCTATGTTTCTGCCCAGGAGCAGGGACCTAGACGGATCAGAAATGGGCACCACAACAGGCAGTTTAGCATACTCTACTCCAATTGTTAATAATGTTGGGGTCTGTTGCTATGGTTACTTCGCTGATCATAAAAAGATCATTTTTTCATTTTAAAATGTAGATTGTTTTCTTTTTTTTTCTGGAAGATTTTATCTTGTTTATTGGAAAGGGGGGTATTTCTCTGTGCCTCAGTTTTCTCATCTGTAAGATGAACTTGATGGCTAGTTTATGCAAGAGGTGTATTTGGTGAAAATTTAGTTTTTTCTCTGTTCTCCAAAAAGATCAGACGAGCTAGTGTGGCAAAGTGCTCAGAGTACTGACTAGCAATTCTTTTAAAAGATTTAAAAGATTTATTTGATAGAGTTAAATTAGGGAGCAAATGAGACGAGAGATCCTCCATCCACTGGTTCACTCTCCCAGGTGGTTACAATGGCCGGAGCTGGGCCAGGTCACAGCTAAGAGCTTCTTCTAGGTCTCCTGTGTGGGTTGCAGGAACCCAAGCACTTGGACCATCTTGCTTTGCTTTCCCACTCACATTAACAGGATGTGGCAGGCGGCAGCTTTATCCACTATGCCTCAGTACTGGCTCTTGATGTGCAGATTTCTAAGTGTGAAATAATTATTGTTGACCCACTTTTTTTTAAAATTATTATTTTTTTATTTTGACGATCTTTACATAGTTAATTTGGGTAAAAAGATTCAAGCGCTACAGGAAAGTGGGTAAGATTATCATTTCCATATTGTTTCCTTCATTGTTGACCCACTTTAAATTCATTCCTAAAGCATCATGAGGCATCTGTGCCATGTGAGGTACAGTTTATCTTTGTGAAAAAGTGAATGCTTCATATCAAATGAGTATTGCCAAACTTTGGGCTATCATTCATCGGGACGTAAATCCACATGTACAGTATATGAAATTAACGCGCGTGTATTTGCTGTTTCGATTGTATATTTGTGCTACTGCTAAAACACGGCTTTGATTTAGTTCTAAGTCATTGATATGTGTCATGTGTCTTCTCACTTAGTGGATAGTCTGCCATATGTGGGAATCTCTGAAATGTTGCCTGCAGATATCGGGAGGAATGACCTAGTCCCTGTCCAGATGTGACTGTTCCTTGAATGGTCCCTGTGTCACTTTCAGTTGCGGGGATGAAGTTGATTGTAAGAATAGTGAAAAATTCTCTAGTATTTGTCGATCACCTCTTGCTTTCCTCCTGCCTCTCATTCGTACTTGAAATGTTTCATTTTTTTCTCCCACCCTTTGTCTCTTCCCAGGATGACTATCGGGTCTGCATGGACTTCAACATCATTCAGAAAGATTCACTCCCCATTTGCCCTGTGGATGCATCAGGCTGCTTCACCGCAGAAGTGGCCCATTTTGCAGGACAATATGTTAAGGTCTGTAATCTGTGTGGCGTAGACCATGCCTATCTTTCTTTTATCAGTCAGTTTTTCTTTTTTCTCTGTTTGGAAAGTAATGCAAGTTCTAGTTAAACTCCATCTTTTGTAATTGTATTGTAATTCACCTAGAAAATAACTTTTGGGCATTTTTTTTGGCATATAAAATGATGGCATCCTGCGTTTTTAAAGGAAGATGCTCTGGTTTCAGGTTAATACTCAGACACTGGGCTCTGATTTCCGTGTCCTGCAGCAGCTTTGTGACCTTGGAGTTATCTTTCCTGCTTGAGAACTTCACTACCTTAAATAGTATAAAGATGCTTCCTGCTCTAAGTAGCTGAGATACAAAAATACAACAACAAAAAACGCCAGTGGTTTATCCTCTTGAGGGAGACAGAGAACTGATGTCTGCAAATACTCGAAATGGCCAGGTCTCCCACCTTGGTGGCAACGACCCAAGTTGTTGTGCTATCCTCGCTGCCCCCCAAAGTCTGATTAGCAGAAAGCCGAAATTGAGAGCAGCTCTAGGGCAGGACCTGGGCTGCCTGGCACATACACATCTTTAAAAAAAAAACTCCTATTTTTATTGGCAAGGCAGATGTACAAGAGAAGAAGATAGAGGTAGAAAGGGAAAGATCTATCCACTGGTTCATTCCCCAAGTGGCTTCAATGGCCAGAGCTTGGCTGGTCTGAAACCTGATGCTTCTTCCGGGTCTCCCACGTGGGTGCAGGGTCCCAAGGCTTTGGGCTATCCTCAACTGCTTTCCCAGGCTGCAAGCACAGAGCTGTATGGGAGTGAAGCAGCCGGGCCATGAACCAGTACCCATGTGGGATCCTGGCACTTGCCAGGTAAAGATTTAGCTGCTGAGCGAGCCACTGTGCTGTGCCTACTACATAGGCATCTTAGTCACAGACCAAACACCCATGGATAGTATTTTAAAATGATATATGTGTAGTTTGTTCCTTTGATTTGTGACAAAATACCAGCTATTAATAGTATAATGATGTTAAGTATTTCAGGAGGTTTGGCAAAATCTTAATTTTCCAACAGGATGCTGATAAAAATATCATCAAGACGTTGAAGGAAAAGGACCGACTTCTTGTTGCCAGCACCTTCACTCACAGCTATCCTTTCTGCTGGAGGTCAGGAAACAAAGACTGGGTGTCCGTGCCTTTGCGTTCATGGTGTCCGGCTTGAGGCGTCCTTGGCAGTTGGTGTTCTAAAGCTTGCCCTCTTTGTTTTTAGCAAAATTTTCAGTTGTCTTCCTCGGGAACTTGGCGAGAAAGAACAGAAATACGTAACTCTTTTTGTTGTTGCAATGGGTTTTAATTGAGACATTTAATGTAGTATCCAGTTGTGATACAAGATCTTTTTTGTGACGATAGAGATGAAAATTGAAGATTCAGTGAACTCAGTTTCAGTTCCCACACTTTCTTTGTGGTGCTGTCGGTTCATTCCTTGAACCGCTATCATGTACAGAATTTTATTTTCCTTTCTGTTCTTGTTGATTTTGTTCGTTTTCTCTTGTTTTGACCTCAAAAGACTGGATTGTTTCTGTAGTACAAATGCTTCTTAATGGACAGCCAGGTAGCTAGTGGTGATGTGAGCAGCAGTCTATCATTGCTTGTTCTCCCTGGGAAACACTTCGTGGTCTGACTTGCTGTGTCTGCATTTCTGCTCCCAGGTCAGACACACCCCTCATTTACAAGGCAGTGCCCAGCTGGTTTGTGCGAGTGGAGCACATGGTGGACCAGCTGCTGAAGAACAACGACCTGTGCTACTGGTGAGCAGAGTTGAGCCGTACTGCAGTGCAGTCAGTGTGCTTCACACTCCTCTAGCATCGTGATAATTTTAACAATTTTAGTGATAATGTTTGGTCGCATGTGTGGTTTTTTTTCCTATGTGTTGAAGAACACAAAATAAGTAATATTACACAATGAGTAACCTTTTTATTGCTAAAGCATTTATGGAAGTGTTATGATTTTTTAACACCATGGAAATGAACAACTGCCATTCCTTTAGAGTATGGGATGGAGTGACTTCGGAGAAAATCTGATTGCACTGTTAGCTTAACTTGAATAATAATCATTTTCAGGGTGAGCATTATTTTCAAAGGTACTTCCCAGCCATCTGTACTTTCGGTGCCGTTCAATTCCTGGGAGAGATATCTCTTGCATTGAGTTTTACGGATAGGCCTCAGCACAGAAGTCTTTGCTCTACCAGCTAATATCTGACCCATAAGAGATAGCCACGGAGGTGTCATGTCAGTGTGTAGGTGCAATATAACGCAAGGGCTTCAGACAATATACTCCGAAAGAGTGGTTTCCCCTGAGCACTTAAAAGTTTATTCTTTACTTCGCACAAGGACCCAGTTACACTAAACGTCTACATTTAATGTTTTAAGAGTGACGAGTATTTCTGGACAGTAAAGGAATGGCATGAAGCTGTCGTCTGAAATTTTCTAGGAATGTGATCCTGATTTCTTAGAAAAGCAGTTACTCTGTTTTTAAAACTAGCAAGCTCATTATTTCTAATGAGTGGGACTAGGTATTGCCTATTAGTAAGATAGCTTCGAAATGGGTCCCACCATAGGCAGTGACCTTTACACTATGGCGTGATAGCTGCAGGGCCAAAGAGATGAATTGGGAGAACTTTAGGACAAGCTGCTCAACCTGTGCTTAGCGGGGATTCTCCTAGGAGAATAAGAAGAAAGATCAGGGGTGAGGAGGTTTCTGATCAGACAGAAGAAGGTTTGAGCATGTGTGGACTGAAGGCAGGGCTGCACAGCCAAAGCAGCTGGATAAGGACACACATGCTGAAAAACTTGCCAGGGATGACAGAGAAGGCTGGAGAGGGCCAAGAGGCAGCCATCAGCTGCCCAGTGTATCAGGAATCCAGCTGAGCAAGCTTGGTAAAAACACAAAGAGCCCAGAGCAAAGGCCAGAGTGAGCAGCCAGAGCTTTGTGAGCCCCTGGGGAACACACAGGAAGTGTATTTTAAAGGGAATCAGCTACAGACAACAGGCCTTGTTCTTTGGAAGTGGGTTTTATGTCACGGGCAGTGATTCTGTTTTTCATCTTTTTGTTTTAATTAAGAAAAAAAAAAAAAGTGATCAGCTACAGCACAGACTTATGCTAGTGCCATCCATTCAGAAGACATTTCCTAGTTGGGAATGTCCTGAGCATTGGGTCCACGAAATGTGAAGCAAAGACTTCCACGTATCAGAGCAGAGTGGCCTGTGTATGTACAATTTTGCCTTGCTGATGTTTGCCTAATTGGTTATCTGATCTGTTTATGACAGGGTCCCGGAGTTTGTGCGAGAAAAACGATTTGGAAATTGGCTGAAAGATGCCCGTGACTGGGCAATTTCCAGAAACAGATACTGGGGGACTCCAATCCCACTGTGGGTCAGTGATGACTTTGAAGAGGTAAGACAAGCGGCGTCTGTGTTGATTGCTGCTGCGGCACTGTGTGCCTGCATTCTGAATGTGGCGTTAAGAATGTGCTCTTTTTCTTTTCCACTTTTATTGTTCTTTACTAGAATCATGACATAAAATAAGAATCTGTTTAGAGTTTTTAACTTCACCCTTATCATGACTAAATGCAAATTTTTTAAAAGATTTATTTTTATTGCAAAGTCAGATGTACAGAGAGGAGGAGAGACAGAGAGGAAGATCTTCTGTCTGATGATTCGCTCCCAAGTGGCCGCAATGGTCAGAGCTGAGCCAATCTGAATCTAGGAACCAGGAGCTTCCTGCAGGTCTCCCACGCGGGTGCAGGGTCCCAAAGCTTTGGGCCGTCCTTGACTGCTTTCCCAGGCCACAAGCAGGGAGCTGGATGGGAAGTGGAGCTGCCGGGATTAGAACAGGCACCCATATGGGATCCCAGTGTGTTCAAGGCCAGGACTTTAGCTGCTAGGTCATGCCACTGGGCCCAACCAAACTCGGTTTTTTGAAAGATTTATTTATCTTTATTGGAAAAGCAGATTTTTCAAACAGAAGAAGAGACAGAAAGATCTTTCATATGCTGGTTCACTCCCCAAGTGGCTGCAACAGCCAGAGCTGAGCTGATCTGAAGCCAGGGCCCAGGAACTTCTTCTGGGTCTTCCACGTGAGTGCAGGGTTCCCAGGGGTAGTGGAGCAGCTGGGATGGAAGCCAGCAAGTGCTTGCAAGTGAAGGATTAGGCGGTTGAGCCTTTGGGCCAGGCCTTTAAATGCAGTTTTCTGTTTATTTTGTTGTATCTTATTTGTGATACAATTCCGTAGGCTTGGGGATTTCCTGTACCCCTCCCTGATTTCCCTTCCCCTACCACTTTGTTTCCCCTATATTATTACAATAGTATAGTCCTTTATAAGTCCATTGTTCGAATACTTAAGTGTATCCTGACATCGCAGGCACGGACAGTGGCAGACAGCCAGAATCCTATTGTCAAGATATATGTAACAGTTTCATTGAGAGTCCATCTTTGATTGGAAAATAGAGGTGCATACTGCTTAAATACAGTTTTAAAAGTGAACAGTAAAGTTTGTGGTCAGGAAAAAGTACACATTATGTTTTATCATTGTCTTCTCTGATCAGGACCTTACTCATGATGAAAAAGAAGCATCGCTGACCTTTAACTTCTAAAATTGAGTCAATATGAGTGAGCCTGTGTGTATAGATATACACATTTGTATAGATATACTTTTATAGATATGCTTTTATGACGGGACTTCGAGTGTGATACTGAGAGCTGTGATAGCAGTGGGGTCCCCATGGGTCAGTAATCTTTGTTGACATCTAAAGGCAATAGTCACATAGTAGAATCACTAGACTTTTCAGGACTGAACAAGGACAAAGAAAGAGGACCCATCAAAACTTCCTGGGCCTGGCATGGTACTCTAGTGGCTAAATTCCTGTCCCAGGATCCCATATCGGCACTGGTCCATGTCCTGGCTGTTCCACTTTCCATCTAGCTTCCTTCCTGTAGCCTGGAAAATCAGTAGAGGATGGTCCAAAGCCTTGGGACCCTGCACATGTGTGGGAGACCAAGAAAAAGCTCTTGGATTCTGGCTTCTGATCAGCTCAGCTCTGACTGTTGCGTCCACTTGGGGAGTGAACCAACAGATGAAAAATCTTTCTCTTTCTATCTTCTCTCTCTAAATCTGCGTTCCCAATAAAAAAATAAATAAATCTTTTCAAAAAATCTTCTTGACCTTGCTGCTGTCATGTGACAACCTCATTCTGAATTCAACTGGTCCTGCTATTACTAAATGTAATTCTAGCACCTTGTGATTGAATTTGGTTACTTCCATCTGTCCAAGCATACTGTTTTATGCTAAAGAGTCCAGATTGTACATGCAGATCCAGCGCCTTAGACAGTCTCTGGTGTTTCATTTATGTTTGATTATTTGTGTAAGAGGCTTAAACGTACTAACCTTCAGGAAGTATTTGTTGAATTGAGGTCCTCTCCACGTAGAGGTTTCCCTGACACCAGGTAGGTAACAGAGTGTCCAGGTTAGCATTTACTTTTTCAGAGACCAGATTGTATTCTTTCATGGGTAATAACTGTTTTTTATCCAAATTGAATATTGTAAAATTATTAAGAAATCATAGGTTCTGAAATTAAACATTAAAGATACAGAAACTAAATCTTTTCTAATTTCCTTGGCTTCTGAAAGTTTCTGCTTCTTAACTTTTTTTGACAGGTAGTATGCATTGGGTCAGTCGCGGAACTTGAAGAACTGTCAGGAGCAAAGATTTCAGATCTCCACAGAGAGAGGTCAGTTTCTAAATGTCTGATTCTTCAGTCTTGTCATCATTCTGCTTAACAGATTACAGATTCTTGGTTTGTACATCATTCTTTTACTGACTCTTACTATCCCGAGGTCATGTGACTTCCATCCTTGACTGTCAGGTAACTTTGGTACCTAACCTTTCTGACTGCGGACTTATGATATCCTCTGAAAGCCTTGAGAACTACCTTTCATATTGCTCTTGGCAAATGCATTTAATATCTTTTCAGCACTTTGGATTTCCTGTAGACATTTAAACTGCATGTTCCATTGCACTTAAGAATTAATAGAAATGATCATTTTTCTATCTGTTAGCATTGACCACCTGACCATTCCTTCCCGCTGCGGGAAGGGACCGTTACGTCGCATCTCTGAAGTATTTGACTGCTGGTTTGAGAGTGGAAGCATGCCCTACGCTCAGGTTCATTACCCATTTGAAACCAAGAGGGAATTTGAGGATTGTTTTCCTGCAGACTTCATTGCTGAAGGCATTGACCAAACCAGAGGATGGTATGCCAATTTCTTTCCTCAAGTGTTTACTCTTGAATGTCTGTTACGTATCTGTAGGTGCTTGGGAGTGGTGGCCAACTGGATAGGCTCTATTCTTACAGCTCCAAATGATAAATGGATTTCACTTTTTTTTTAATGTTTCATTTAAGGCAGAACTGTCATCCTCTTGTTGCTAAGCGAGTGAGTTGCCATCATTTTCTGGATGTGTTTGTTGCTCCAGGTGCTCTTGACTTTGATTAATAATGCTTCTGTAGGGTAGCTTAAAGAATTTGGTGATGCCCTTTCTGCTTTTCCTGTCTCTAGTAGTCACTGGCATCAGACTTTGTGATGTACACTTTTCAAATTCCAGTGTATTTACAATAACTGCCTGAAACAAATTACTCTTTTTAGGAGGAGTCAGATGGTTTAGCTGTAAGCTTATTTTAGCTGCTATTATCAGTCCTTATGTGGGTCTTGTATGCTCGCTATCCCCAAGGCTCCTCTCTGGCTAGACTTTCCTGTTCTGAGCACAGTGGGGTCTCCCTCCGCTGCTTGGGAACTGAAACACGAGCATGACATGGTGGCAAGATGTCGCTCTGGGAGACAGGAGCAGCCCTATAAGAACGTTCTCTGGGAGTCAGCTCGCTAGCCTGGAAAGGAGTTACACAACACCTGTCAGAGTAAAGGCATTTCCATGTCTCTGTAGTTCCTCTTTTGACTTCTAGATGGTGCTTGTATTTTGCATCTTTTGTCATACTGTCCCACGTGATCCCGCACCAGAAGCTACACTATCTCCCTTTGAGCAGGTGTGTGTGAGAGGTTGCCGGTGCTGCCTCTGCCCCCTGAGGTAGGGTGGAGGCTCCTCCCCTGTAGCAGAGAAAGGGTCAGCACATTGACACAGGACTGCATTTGCTTTAAATAAAGCAGAGTGCATTTTCAAACCAGAGATTCCATATACTCTGTATAACTGTGTGGGTGCCCTGTGTCACATGTTTTCTACACTGCAACTCAGATTGTAACAGTAAACTCTTGTCTTGTTGATTATTAAAATAGAAATGCAGGCATTGAATAAATGTTACATGTTTTCCTGTGCTTGGACTGCATTTCTGTTCTCACTGAACTGTTGGGTTTTTTTCAGGTTTTACACTCTGCTGGTGTTGGCCACAGCCCTGTTTGGACAACCGCCTTTCAAGAATGTCATTGTCAATGGGCTCGTCCTGGCGAGGCAGGTGCCTTCTTTCTGTGTTGTGACCAGTTCCTGCTATGATACCCTCTGTCCTCATTCCCTGAGTTTGTTTCTTCTCAATGCAGCCATATTCTGGTTGGCCCTCTCCTCATACAGGGAGCTAGGAACACCAAATTGCAGCTTAGTCCTCCTCTTCCTTTCTGATTCAAGTGTGTGGCATTCCTGTGCGGTCCAGACCTCCATCCTCAGCTCATGTCCCCACGGTCCACCATTTCCTAGGGAAGAGCTGCCGGACTATGTGGAGAGAAATCACGGGAATAACTGATGGAGCCAGGGCAGTAGCAATAGCGTCAGTGAGGTCACAATTGTCAAATAGAACATCAAGCTATCATTTGATGAATACATTTGCCTGTAGAGCTTCTTTGTACATCAGTCCTACAATGCGGTTTTGTGCTCTATCATGTTGGCTGCAGCTCTGACTGTAGAGATCCTGAGGGCCAGGATAAAAGCTGATGCAGGACAGGGACTCTGCCGCCAGATCCCATACCTCCCCTACCTGATGCTCTTCTTCCCACGGAGGAATCTTCTTGCTTTTCATTGATTCAGAGGAATTTCCTTTTTTCCTTTATTTTATTACCTTTAGTCATTACAGGTGAAAATGAACATAAATGGAGATTTTAAAACAATACTTACTGCACAGATACCCTGCTTCCTTTGCCATGGGAAGGGGGCACCTAACATCAAGGATGCTTGAGTCCTTTGTCCCGCCTGTGGATATGTGCCCTCGTCTTACTTCACTTAACCCTCGGACCACTTTGAGATGGTGCCTTGCAATTGTCCCTTTTTTGATAAATTGGAGACACAGAAAAGTTCGCATGCTGGGGGGGTCACACAGCAAATGAGTAATAGATTCCAGTTTGAGACAGTTTTTATACAGTCCAATATCCTCAAATTTTCCCAATTTTATGTATGTCCAATATATCCATTTGTTTGTATTTATTGAGTACAATTCTGTCACATGTGTTTCTCTAACTAGTTTCTGTAGCTTCTGTAACTATGCACTCAAAATCCCTAATGGCTTCACTCAGCACCACAAGGACCCCTCCTGTCACCTTCCTTAACTGCCCACAGCCTTCCTACCCTCCCACCCCATTCCCCATTCCTAGCAAACACAATTTGATTCTTTGCTGCAGTGCAGATATGCTATGGAACACGCAATGGGACAGACATGGGATCACACAATGTCTGATTTGGAGCTGATGACATTTTGCACTCGGCACAGTCCCATGGAGATTGTTGCACATGTTAGTCTTATTTATTTTCAGTGCTGACTAGTATTTGGCAGTGCGGCCATCTGCCTCTTGAAGGGTGCTGGGCTGCTTCCAGTGTTTGTTAATAAAACTACGATGAACACTTGTGCATCGTTTTTTGTTACTGTATGTCTTAATTTTCATGGGTGAGTGCTATAACATCTTCCTGCTTTTGTCTACCCCGATACTTCATGGCTCCCCCATGGTATTCAGACTATAGTTTTCAAATACCAACAAAATGACCCTGTGAAATTATGCCTTGTTAACACTCGCTTGCATCTAGGTTATTACTATTTGCATTTACTTATTCCTGTTTGCAAGTAATCTATAGCCATATATAAAGAAAGGTAACCGTGAAATTGACTGACTTTGAATCTCTCTTGCACTTTACAAGTGATGGCCAAAAAATGAGCAAACGAAAAAAGAATTATCCAGATCCGGTTTCGATCATCAATAAGTATGGCGCCGATGCCCTCAGGTACAAACCAGTGCTTTGCCTTGTGCATGTTTGCCTTTGGAAGTAAGGATGGCTTATTCTGTTCATCAGGATTCTTGGATTTGGTTTGTACAGGAGCTTTTACACACATATGTTCTGTAATCATCACATGGGCACGGGTTTAATCTCAAGTTCCCCAAACAATTTCTGAGTAGAGAGACGTTTCAGTCCTCAAGGTCTTTTTTGAGTAAGAAGACCTGTTGTGGCTGCTGGTTGTCTCCAACTCATTGTTCTGAGTTTCCTGTCTTGTTGGGATTAGACTTTCATCATATATTATAATTTTCTACTTACAAGGCCACATGAGGTAAATTTATATATTAAAGAACAAATTTAAAAATTAACGTTGGAGCTTTTTTGATGGCTTTGAGTCACTGTGTACCATGATTATTGTCATGAAACACCAGTGTTACCATTGAAAGGCCTTGTGTAGCAGAGAGTGGAACTGTCTGTTCTTGCATCATCTGTAGACTTAGCAGTTGGGCAGAGTAATTTTCTGTGAGGGAGCTGGCCTGTACAGTGTCTACCAGAGCCACTGAGCACTGCCCATCAATGTCAGATCTGACACTCTGTGAAGCCTACTGCTCATCAGCTGTTTCCATAGATGGTGTGGTGTGCAGCATCCATGGGTGTAGGCAAGTCGCTGTGGATGAGGACCAGACCTGCCTTCCTCTTGGGGATTTCACAGTGCTACATTTGCTGGCAGGGTGACATACACTTCTTTATCATTTTCATGGGTTCTTACACAGAGTGAGAACTTTGTGAATTTTAAGTTGAATAGTAAAGACTATTCATCATGTCCTCCTTTTATAGAAAATTAAGCCCTGATTTTAGTCTTGTCCTGTGACTATGTCAGGTAGTAATATTTGGTATATTATCTCTGTACCTTTTATGTGTAATTCTCCCTCTTTCAGATTATATCTGATCAACTCCCCTGTGGTGAGAGCAGAAAATCTGCGCTTCAAGGAGGAGGGTGTGCGGGATGTGCTGAAGGACGTGCTGCTGCCGTGGTACAACGCATATCGATTCTTCATTCAGAACGTCTTCCGACTGCAGAAGGTAAACAGTGCAGCGGTGTGTCTGTGTGCAGAGCTGTGGGCTCCAGGCGGGTTCCCAATGCCACTGCGGGTGCTGTGGAGCAGGTGCACGGGGAGGCACAGACCATGGGCAGGCTGGACTTGTGACACGGGACGCGGAGCTAGCAGGCCTGGCTAAGTTATCACCTCTGGGACACAGGTCTCCACTGTTTAGAGTGGGAACAGTGTTTCTTGACCGGTTTGTCATGCCAACCACTCCTGTCAGGAGAGACAATAGAGGGAGCCACTATCAGAGCCAATACCTGGGGACACGCAGGACTTGGTGCTGGTCAGCCTGAGAAGTTGGCTATTGGGCTGCCACAATGACAATGAGAACAGCTGTTCTCTGTGGATTGTTAGAACCACTAAAACAGTTGGTTGCCTGCCCAGGCAGTTCTTCTTGAGAAACCCTTGCTCCAGCCACCTCTGTTCTTCTCTGACCACTATAACGGCCCATCATGTTCATCACCAGCATTTGTGCTTTTAAGACCTCATTTGGGACTGATGTGATGGCTCAGTAGCTACATCCTCCTTCTGCACATGCCAGAATCCTATATTGGCGCCAGTTTGTGGTCCAGATGCTCCACTTAATGCTTTGCTCTCTTTCTATTTAAAGAGTTGCTTTAAAGAGTTTATTCCTCTTTTAGTAACTTCTGTACAAATACATCATTCCTAGGAAGAAGAAATAGAATTCCTCTACAATGAACACACAGTCAGAGAAAGCTCCAACATCACAGACCGGTGGATCCTATCCTTCATGCAGTCACTTATAGGGTTCTTTGAGACTGAAATGGCAGGTGAGTGTGTTGAGCTGTTTGGCAGGAGTAAAGACCTCATTCTCTTTGTAAATGCCCTTTTGGTGTTTAACAGGTTTTCTTTATTAACAGAGAAAATTTTGAGAGATCAGCACAACAAATAAGTAATAATTGGCTTTAATCATAAAGTGTAGCTTTGTTAAGGTTTGTTGTAGAAGCTAGTTTCCAGAATTTCTCACTTGGACCTGTGGTTGTATCTCTCTCCAAGCTTGGGGAAGCCAACCTGATCTGCTTTCCCAATCTTGGCCCAAAACCAAACTCACTGTTGGTAGTCTACAGAAAGAGGAAGAAAATATCTATTTCATTATTGCTTTTCTGATTTTTATGAAAAGATTTATTTTTACTGGAAACACAGATTTATAGAGACACAGAGAGAAACATCTTCCATCCATGGGTTCACTCCCCAAGTGGCCACAATGTCTGGATCTAAGCCAATCCAAAGCCAGGAACCAAGAGCTTTTCCCACATCTCCCATGCAGGTGCAGGATCCCAAGGCTTTGGGTCATCCTCAGGTGCTTTTGCAGGGCACAGCCAGGGAGCTGGAAGGGAAGTGGAGCAGCCGGTTCACAAACACAAAAACCGGTGCCCATATGGGATTTTGGCGTGTGTAAGGCGAGGATTTAGCCACTGAACCATTGCGTCAGGCCCTGGTTTTTTGGTAGTTTTTCTAGGATGGGCAGAGACTGCTTATTTAATAGTAAAAATAGACCTAATAATATGTTAGCAGCAGCTCCGCTTAGTGAGTATCTGTTATCTGCCATCTACTTTGTGTAACTTATCTCTATGAGACATTAAGTATCACTTAAAATGGAGGTGAATGAGAGAATTCTTGAAATGAACCTTGGCACAAACAGGGTTGCCCTCTGTACCCTCTGAGTTCCTCAGGGACCCTCAGACCCCTCTAATTTGGCTCTTTCTCCCATCACCTCTCCTGTGCCAGAGTTTCTGAGCAACTACATTGTGGACACAGCATGGGTCAGATCATTTTCTGTGTGGTGGCTGTGCTATGCATTGTAACATGCTGAGCAGCCTGGAGGCCCGCCCACCCACCCATTGTGACAACCAAACATCTGCAAGCAATGCCAGTGACGCTGTAGGGGCAGATTGCTCCTGCTTGAACTGCTGGCCAGTGCCATACATATCTCTTACCATCTCATTTGCACTGGCTTTGTTTTAGTTGGCGTGCTGGGCTTTTGTTACACAACTCCATGTACACTGTACTTCCCAAAGCTGTGGGATGGGCAGCCTTGGACTTCCAACTGCACATGCTGGATTTTAGGTTTTCTCCCTGGCCAGTGGGAGTCCATCAGTGCCTTCTCAGGTGGTTGTATGTGCACCTGATACACCTTGACTTACCAAATAGCACAGCCTCAGCAAATGAGCCATTTGTGTTTGCTTTTGTCCCTCATGTCTCCCTAGTGGATGGATAAAAGTCCTCAGGCTAAAGGGGCTGTTTGTGTCTGACCTGTGCCTTCCTGATGCTGGGCCCAGACTTGCTGCCTCATTGATTCTCTTACTTTTAGCCTATAGGCTCTATACTGTGGTACCTCGCCTGGTCAAGTTTGTGGATGTTCTGACCAACTGGTACGTCAGGATGAACCGCAGAAGATTAAAGGTAAGTAAATAGCTCGTGAGAATAGCAAAAGTAGGTCTGATCTTTGAAAGTTATTGAAATGAGAGAACAGTTGAAGGCTCTCAGTTTTTTGAAGTTCTCTTTTTCTTTTCCATTTGCATTGGTTATTATTTGACAGATGGGTAGTTAAAAAAATCGTTTTGTATGTTTTCACAGCACAAATGTGCACACATCCAATTGAGAGGAAAACATGAGTACCCGCATTAAACTAAGGATACATCTGTGTGAATATTCTGCAGATGTGGTTGAATATGGCTCTAAGCTGGACAGAGCACTTGCTTGTTTCTCTCCTTCCGAGCCAGTTGTCTATGTATATTGACAGTGGCAGAACACTTAGTGTTGTTTGTTGTTTGTTACATTGAGGGGTATGCAGGCCGTAGTGTGTCATGATCTGTGCCGTGTGCAATGCAGGGCTGATAGGCGTCTTCTCTGCAGGGAAACTGAGGCTCCGCAGCCATTGGTTCCATTTCCTGTGTAACTAAAAACCCATAAATACAACTGCAATTTCGTTCTCATTAACATGTATATGTATTACTCTTATGTGCATACTCTCGTACAGAAATGTGTAAAAGGATGCGTAGTAAAATGTTTATCATGGTTATTGCTAGGTGACAATTATGGTTGGATTTTCTTTTGTTTTTCCTATAAAGAGTTAAATGTTGATCTGTATAATGATTTAAATACTTTTTAATATCCACAGTGTATTGGTTTAAAAGAATTATTTATTTGGAAGTCAGAGCTGTAGAGAGAGTGGGAGAGACAGAGAAAGATCTTCTATCTGTTAATTTATTCCTCAGATGGCCATAGCAACTAAAGTTGGGCCAGGCCAAAGACAGCTGCTTCTTGGCTTGCCACATGGATATTAGGGGCCCAAGTAGTTGGACCATGTTTCACTGCTTTTAGCAGACCACTGACAGGGAACTGGTTTGGAAGTAAAGCCGGGACATGGACTGATGCCTATGTGGGTGATGACATTTTACTCGCTATGCCACAACACTGGCCCCATGAATTTTTTTTTCCAAAAAATGGGAGAAGTTGATTTTTAGCACAGCAGTTAAGCTTGGGACACCCTGTGTTCAATTCCAAGCTCTGCTTCTAGTTCAGATTTTTGCCATTGTATACTTTGGAGGGCACCAGTGGGTGTTGATTTAAGTACTTTGATCCCTGCTGTTCACAGAAAGGCCCGTAGTTCCTAGGTTGCACAGTCCCAAGTCCCAGGGTTTCTTCCTCACCTCTGGCTTCAGCCTATCCCAGGTCTGGATATTACAGGAATTTAGAGTGAACAAAATAAATTTTCAATTAAATGATAAGAAATCTTACTTTAAGGTATTTTCTTCTATCTACTGTCTGTCTTGATGCATATGAATATACCGTCCTACCCTCAACCTTGAGGCTAACAGTCAATGTTCAGCTCCCAGGTCCTCAGCCATTCCCCATCTGATCCATTTTGAGAGAGACTGTCATGGGGTGCACATCCCTGGGTTTCTCCTGCTCTGTGGAACCCCTGCAATGGCAGCACCCCAGGTGCCTGATGGTGGTGATGGTGGTGGCCATTTCTCCTTGCTTCTACTCTCTGTGGTTGTCTTTCTTTTTAATAAGCTTGTTTTTTATGATAAATTTTTTTTTTAAGAATAATGGTTTGTTTCTCTCTCTGCTTTTTTTCTGCTAGGGTGAAAATGGAGTGGAAGATTGTGTGACGGCCCTGGAGACTTTGTTTAGCGTCCTCCTTTCTCTGTGCAGATTAATGGTGCGATGCTAGCCATCTTCCTAAAGCCCTGTAGTCTGGGGGCCTACTCTGCTCATTGCTGTTCCATATTGAAGTATTAAAACCCTCTAGTTTCTCCTTATATGTCAGTATGATTCATAATGCAAGTAAGGGCTATATTGTGCTAGATTCTTTGTCCTAATTACTGGCAGTGTAGTTCCTTACATCTAAGTGGGTATCTATAGGTCAAGGTAAGAATACTGTGTCTGGGGAGAATCATGGGCTCACATCTGATCAGACAAACACATTCCAAACATTTTAGCTTAATTCTTTGAGAAAGATTACATGTAGTGGTTTGAGATGTACTCCTGTCATTTAAAATATTGACTAATTTATGTATAAGTGGAAAGACTTCAGCTTTAACTCCCTGTATTATGTTCTGATATTCTGGTATAATCTTATACACCTTCTTAACATTCACCAGAAAAGCTTCTACAAGGCCCAGAATATGCTACCTTGCAGGTCTCCCCCCGACCCAGGGCATGCTGCCTTACAGGCCTTCCCCCCCGCAGGGCATGCTGCCTTGCCTCATCGCTTGGCTTTGTCCCATGAAGCAGGTGGGGTTTTCTGCAGTTTACGCATTTCCAAGGTGTGGGACATTAGGTTCCCTGCACATAATAGATCACCTGGCATGTGATCAGAGGGCCCTGATTCCTTTCTTTAACCATCCTCCAGAAGTCATGTATGCTCTTGGTCCTCTGGCTGCAGGCCTGCCACTGTGCTTCATAGATGTGCAGTCATTTCCCTGTTAAGACGCCATGTGTAGTGACTGCATGTCCATGTCTGCATGTGACTGGGACACTCTCTGAAATGTTGAATTGTTGTTTTTCAACGTGAGTTCGACAACTGCTTACATATAACATGATGTCTTCTGTCTTCATGTAGGCCCCCTATACACCATTCCTCACTGAACTGATGTACCAGAATCTAAAGCAGCTGATTGACCCAGTTTCTGTCCAGGAGAAGGACACACTCAGCATCCACTACCTCATGCTGCCTCGTGTTCGGTAGGAATCAAATACAGATAAGCCTGCCCTGGGCCATCGGGAATAAGTTGATAGAGCAGAGAGGACCCAGGCTCTCAGTAAAGAAATCTAGAAAGCAGGCCTTTGCCTGCTCTGGCTCCTCCATACCTTCTCCCACCTGAGCTGATACGAGTCCTTGGGCCACAGAAGAATGCTCAGTGTGGAGCACCTCTGTGTAACCGACAGGTGGGTTAAGGGCATGTCTCTGTGTGCTCCTAGGGAGATCTTTCCATACTGTCCGGTCCTCCAGCTTGTCTCCTCCTTCACTCAAGCATGCCTACTGTCCTGCATTTTTTCCCTTTTCAATCTAATCTGCCTCCTATTCTTATCTTTACCAGAGAAGAGTTGATTGACAAGAAAACCGAGAATGCCGTGTCTAGGATGCAGTCTGTGATTGAACTGGGACGAGTGATCCGAGATCGCAAGACTATCCCAATCAAGGTTTGGAATATAGATTTCACATGACACAGGCCTAAGTAATTCTATTTTTCTTGACTTTAGAGGACTGGTCGTTTAGTGAGCTTTCCCTTTTTTTCCTTCTAGTACCCTTTGAAAGAAATTGTAGTTATTCATCAAGATCCAGAAGCTCTAAAAGATATCAAGTCTTTGGAGAAGTACATCATTGAGGTAAGGTAGATGATTTGTCTGTTTGGGGCTTAAACAATTGTTATGAAGATTATTGCTTTTGGTTTTTTTTTTTTTTTTCTGGGTGTTCAGCATTGTGGTGTTACTACTTGGGATATGTGCAGAGTGCCGGCATCAAGCCTCAGAAGAAGGAGATGAGTGCCTAGGAGTCACAGTGGCTGAAAGGACTGTCCTCCTGATATCAGAAAAAAAGTGGCTGATCCAGGCCTGTGGGTCCGTCCATAGCAGCTTAACTTGCCAGGGGAATCATTTCTTTACACATATTTCACCATTCCCAGCCTGTAGCAGAGCTATTCTAATGTGGTCACCTGATTGCTAGAAATCTCCAAGCTCCAATATTGACAATAGAAAACAGAAAGAATTTGTTTTTCTTTTTTCCTGTATGTAGGGGAAGGGAGGAGATAAGGTGAGAAGCCCCAGTCCCCAGGAATGGGGAATGGTCACCTGATGTCATCCCAGGGTCCCCAGTGTAGAGTGTGCTGCATGAGTTCTGCTCAGGTGGTTTTGATAGTTCTGAAATGCTGTTGATTTCATTGCTCCGTGGATAAGGAAATCCTTCCAAGGTACATTGGCTGACATATTCTACCTTAGAGTCTCCATTTGCCCAGATATTTTTTGTCAACATTTGGCTGGCGTAGTTGTCCAATTTGTTTTGCCCTCCATCCTCTGCTGTGGTACCAGATGTCCTCCTCAGGCTCCAGTGGACTGCCATATTCCCCATGTGCATCTGGGCATGCCATCCACTGCACCTTCTTTAGCAACCAAGGAGGCCCAGCTCTGGCACATGCACTCCATGGTCAGACCATGGAACCTGCAATTTCCTCCATGGTTGAAGTTCTGAGTTCAATGGTTCAGTTGGGGGGATTCCCAGAGAAACCTCGTCTGCGGTGACCCCAGCCTGACTCTTGTGTGCTAATCAGTACACGGGTCTGGCTCAGTCTGTCATCCACATCAGCCTACACACACACTGGTAGTTGCAGTTGCTGGTTAGTTCTGTCTCCAGCCCCATCTCTTATGCATACCAGGGGATGCTATGGCCCAACCCAACCCTGCTTTCCACATACTTGATGCTTCTGTGTACCAGCAGCAGTTGCAGTCCAGTTGGAGCAACCTTCAAACCCCCCACCCGGCCCACCCCTTCAGGAACTGTGCTACACATGCCAGTATGTGCAGTAGACTGGTCCAGTTAGTCCCACATCCCATTGGCTTTTGCACACACCAATGGATGCTGCAGCCTGGCTCAGCCCAACCAACTCCACTATCCATCCCACAATTAGGCTCTCTGGTGCTACCACCTGTCCAGCCATTTCCACCCCCCAGTCCTGATTTTAATGCTTCCTGGTGGGAATTGCAGCCCATCAGGGAGGTTCCCTGATGTGTCCATAATTTTGTGAATACACATGTTTTCATTTCTTGCAATTTTGTTTTCTCTTGTGTTCTAATGATAGGAACTGAATGTTCGGAAAGTTACACTGTCTACAGATAAAAACAAGTATGGTATTCGGCTAAGGGCGGAACCAGATCACATGGTCCTGGGGAAGCGTCTAAAGGGAGCCTTCAAGACAGTGATGGCGTCCATCAGGCAGCTGAGCGATGAGGCGCTGCAGCAGTTCCAGAAGACTGGTAGGTTTCTGCTCAGACAAGGGCATGCTCATGTCCACAGGCCAGCCTTGTCTCACAAGTAGGCCCCTGTCCGGTCATGTCCTCTTCCTTCTCCTGTTAATAAAAATGCCTACTGTACGTCATTTGGGTAACATAGAAAGTAACTGTCACCCTAACTTGGGACCTCTCCATGTACCATAGCTGCTGTTCAGTATCTGGGCTCATAGGTGCAGGCATGCTGTTACAACTCAGGTTTACCTCCCTCGTTGCACATTTGATTGTGATGTGATAACAGTCACAGCCTTACCAAAAGAACATCACACTGTAGCTCTAAACTTCTATATTTGTTCTTTGAACTCATGCTAATGGTGCTGACAGACTTTATAGAAAGAATGATGTTTTTGTTAAGTCCCGTGAAGGAAATGGGATTAGGAGTATCAGCTGCTCGCTCTCCTTAACCTGCAGAAAGCATGTTAAGGTGCATGGGAGTTTGCGGTCTTCTGAGCTTAGAATCCTACTTGGCCCGTGCATGGCTCTTGACCTCTCTGTAGGCTCTCCTGGAGCACAAGGGGTTTGTTAACCAGGATCCCTGGGACTCTGACAGTTCCACACATTGTGAGTAGAAAGATATATGGATTTAAGAATCGGACAAGTGGTTATGGAAATTGGAAGGAATGCCCCTAAGATTTTCTAGATGTTTAGATAGAATTCATAAAAAACCATCAACTAAAACTTAAGACACTACTAATTCTGTTCAAAATATTAAAGCAACAAAATGTTTATAATCTATTTTCAAGTCAAAAGTTAATCTTAGGAGTAGTATTACAGGCTAATCCTCCACCTGCGGTGCCAGCATTTCCTATGGACACTGGTTTGAGGACTGGTTTCTCTACTTCCAATCCAGCTCTCTGCTTATAGACTGGGAAAGCGATGGAGGATGGCCGAAGGCCTTGGACCTAGTGGGAGACCGGGGAAAAGCTGCTTGCTCCTAGCTTTGGATCAGCTCAGCTCACCATTGCTACCATCGGGGGAGTGAACAGAGGAAGGCCTCCATCATTGTCTTTCCTCCTGCCTGTGTGAAATTGACTTTTCAAACAAGTAAATCTCTTAAAGTAAATAAATTTTAGAAATAACTGCTAAACAAGCTAACCAAAACCTCAAGATTCCTGAAATCAGCCTTATTTTAAATTGAAAGCCCATATTGTCCGAATGGACAGAATAGTTTTAAGAATACTGGGGCCTCAAGTGAAAGTGACAGCCTGGTGCAGGAAGCCCAGCTGAGTGACTCGAGGTGACACACAGCTTCCCTGAAGATGGGACTTGAGAACTTTCACCTGAGTGTTGATGTGGATTAGAGGACACTGGTGGCGACTTCTTGGTCTTCACGGAGGCATAGTGCAGTCTAGAGAAAATGTAGTACATCTTTAGCTGTGACTGTGACATGAGGCATGAGGAAATTATCTCTTGAGTCTTCCGCAGCTCTTCCTTTTTTTTTTTTTTAATGTATTTTTATTTTGAATTTTGTGTAGGCTGGGATTTCCCCCAAAACTTCCACCCCCCTGTCAGATTTTTCCCATTTTGTTAAAATATTGTGTAGTCCTTCATAAGGAATCATCATTCTATCAGTCTCTTATTTAAGTGTACCTGGACATTGTTGGTACAGACAGTGTCAGACAGTCCAGCATCCCATTGTCTACACATGTCTAATAGTTTCATTGGGATTCCATCTTTCGTCTGGATGCAGGGATGCATGGTCCATTATACCCCCACGTCTATATATGATAGACCCCAGTACTCCTTCCTACACATTACCATAAGTGAGAAGCCACGAAACAAGGTCAACAACTGGTATGAGTTAGAACAGCCGCAACAACAACATCAATAACAAATTACAGTACCATGAAAAAAAAAGTGCCACTCAGTAACTAACACATGAGTGACAAAAAGGGAACAGAGAAGTCTCTTGGGAAATATGATGCCATCATATAATTCATGAGCCTGTGATGAATTTGACTAGAGAAAAGAGATTATTTGGAATGAGCCAAACTGAAATAAAAAACATCAAAACACATGGGATACAGCCAAAAAAGCAAATAAACAATAAGAAAAAAGTATGGATTGGACTATTGGAGTTAGATTTTCCATGTTGGTTTCCTTATATAAGAGAGAATATATGATTTCCACAATGGTTGTACTAGCCTTCGCTCCCACCAGCAGTGAAGGAGGGTGCCTTTCTCCCCACATCCACACCAGCAGGTGTTGTTAGTTGAGTTCTCAATGTAGGCCAGTCTCACTGGAGTTAGGTGGTACCTCAACGTGGTTTTCATTTGTATCTCTCTGTTGGCTAGGGAGCCTGAGCATCTTTCCATATGTCTGTTAGCCATTTGAACCTGTTCTTTTGAGAAATGTCTGTTCATTTCTTTTGTCAATTGCAGGGTTGTTTTTTCTGTCCCTGGATTCCTGAAGCTCTTTATAAATCCTTGATATTAGTCCTCTGTCACTTGTGTAGTATGCAAAATTTTTCTCCCATTCTGTTGGTTGCTTCTTCTCTTTGTTATTGTTTCCTTTGCTGTACAGAAGCCTTTTAGTTTGATGTAGTCCATTTGTTCATTTTGGCATTGACTGCCTTTGCTTTTGGTGTGTTTTCTAAGAAGTTTTTCCCTTTTCCTAGATCTTGGAGTGTGCTTCCTATGTTTTCCTTTAATAGTTTGATGGTTTCTGGGTTTAGATTTAGGTCCTTGATCATTTGAGAGTTGATTTTCTTATAATATGACAGGTGTGGGTCTTGCTTCTTAAATCTGCAGGCTGCTATCCAGTTGTCCCAAAAGCATTTGTTGAAGAGACCCAGATTTTTCCCTGGATTGTTTTCAGTTTTCTTGTCAAAGCAGAGTTGATTATACCTGTGTGGGCTCCCTCTGGTGTTTCTCTTCTGTTCCGCTGATCTTCTCGGGCTTGTAGTAGTGCTTGGTAAGGCTCAAGAAAAGAAAAGGGGGGGGTGTGTATATAATAGGATATGGTATTATGGTATGTTGGTATGGTTGTGGGGGTAGTATAGTAATGGGATTGGTTTTTGGGTGGAATGTTTGGGAGTGGGTGATTGGTGGGGGTGTTGGGGTTGGAGTTTGGGGTGGGGGATGGGTTTGTGGGGTGGGGTGGGGGGGGGGTTTGTGGTGGGGTGAGGGGTTGTTTGGTTTGGGGTTTGTATGATTGGGGGGTGGGGTTGTATTGATTTTGTTGGAGATGGGGTGGTGGGGTGGTGTGGGTTGGGGGTGTGGGGGTGGGGTTGGGGTTGGTGTTTGGTGGGTGTTTTTTTGTTGGTGGGGTTTGTTGTGGGGGGGGGGGTTGGTGGGTGGGGTGTGTGTTTGTTGGGTGGTGTGGTTGGGGTGGGGTGGGGGGGTTTGTGTTTGGTTTTGGGGGGGGGGGGGTGGGTGGGTGTTGTGTGGTAGTGGAGAGAATGGTTTTATGGATGAAGAGTAGATGATTATGTAATTTTCAACATCACAAAACACTAATTCTGCTGGAGGGGCCAGCTGTAGAGTGAAGGGCTTTTGCTCTAAGGACATCTTAGAGGGGGGTGCGGGGGGGGGGGGGATTGGGAGGTAATGGGGGGGTGGTGAAGAATGGTTGTGGATAGGTTGTAAAAATTGGTATAAGGGTGAAAATTGGGACTATCATGTGGATAACATGGCAATGCGTGCAGTGGGGTCTATCCCTGGTTTTTTGTTTGTTTTTTAAACCAAGAGGTAGGAACATGAAAGGAGAGGTAATTTACCAGTATTTACAGCTTGTCCCATTTTAGGCTGACTTTATTACACTTCTCTCTGGTTAGTCTTTATCGTGTTTGTGATATTATGTACTAATAAGTAAATACTAATAAATAAAGAAATGCATAACTGAATCTTAGTATTCTATCTGGGAAGTTACTGAGTAGAAATGAGTACAGAGAAGGGCCCATTCAAAGTGGTGTGGTCAGGGAATGTCTTTTTTTTTTAAAAAAAAAAAAAAGATTTATTTTATTTTTATTGGAAAGGCAGATATATAGAGAGGAGAGACAGAGAGGAAGATCTTCCCTCCGATGATTCACTCCCCAAGTGAGCGCAACGGCCGATACTATGCCGATCCGAAGCCAGGAGCCTCTTCCGGGTCTCCCACGCGGGTGCGGGGTCCCAAAGCTTTGGGCTGTCCTCGACTGCTTTCCCGGGCCACAGGCAGGGAGCTGGATGGGAAGTGGGGCTGCTGGGATTAGAACCGGCGCCCATATGGGATCCCGGGCATGCAAGGCGAGGACCCTTAACCACTTGCGCCACCGTGCAGGGCCCAGGGAATGTCTTTTGTTGAGCCTGTACAGGCTCTTTTTTGTCGCGATGGGGAATGGTGTCTCTAGTGGTTATAAGATCTCCCATCTGGAACTGAGGTATTCTGGAGTCTCCCTGAGCTCAACATGTCACGTAACAGAAAAATTTGCATCTTTAAGACTTTCTACATGATTTAAGTACGTGCAGAGCTCTTTGGGAAGATACACAGTAATAGAAGGAGAAGTAGCTAGAAGGAAAGAGGAGGCGTGTTAGAAGCAATCAGAGTGGGCAGTCCATAGCACACTAAGGAGATTACCTGCCGAGGTGTGGCTTGGGGTACTTCTGTGTGTGGCAGTGACCTTCCCCTGGTTAGAACTTTGAGCTTATCCTTCATAAGTTGTACCTCCTCTGTGAAGCAAGGCAAGCTTTTTAACTTCTCGTTGAGTTTCCTTAAATGTAAATGGGGTGATGCTTAACTACTAAGGATTCAATAGAGTATGTTACACTCTATATCATGTACTTAGTAATAGAAGTGATGGTGTTGATAATAATCATAGCAACCTTGAGAACAGATGAAATAGAAAAGTAAATAGTAATTGTAAAAGATGGCAGCTTAGCTAAATCGCACAAAAATATGTGATCTGTTGTAGAATGTGTATCATGAATCATAATTAGAAACCCAAAGAGGGCCCGGCACGGTAGCCTAGCAGCTAAAGTCCTCACCTTGAACGTGCTGGGATCCCATATGGTTGCTGGTTCTAATCCCGGCAGCTCCACTTCCCATCCAGCTCCCTGCTTCTGACCTGGGAAAGCAGTCGAGGACAGCCCAGGGCCTTGGGACTCTGTACTCACGAGGGAGAACCGGAGGAGGTTCCTGGCTCCTGGCTTCGGATTGCCTCGCCTCCAGCCGTTGTGGCCACTTGGGGAGTGAACCATCTGACTGGGGAGCTTCCTTTCTGTCTCTTCTCCAATAAAAAAAAAATTTAATAAATCTTAAAAAAAAAAAAAAGAAAAAGAAATTCGAAGAACCCACGGGTCTTGGTTTAAGAAAGCCTGAAATGAACTGCTTTGAGAAGTGTGGCTGCTGGTTCTGCTGTGAAGAGATTTGCTGCTCCAGAGGCTTTGTGGTCGGACATTGATCTTACTGGAGCACTTGCAGTCATTCATTGGCTGAGCCCAAGGCAGATTTGCGAGAAAGAGTCTCACAAAAGATAGTATCTATCCAATGATCAGCGATCGATGATCGGCCTAGGAGGGACAGCTGCCTGTCTCCCTGGAGAGGGTGGGCTAGCATCTAAGTAACGAAGAGGCTGGATGAACTGTGTTTCTTTTGCTCTGTTGTACGAATTAATAGTGCTGTGTATAACCTCGTCAGAGTTCCATTTTAGATGCTCTGTATAACCTCATCAGAGTTCCATCTTAGATGCTGTGTTGCTGAGTTACGCTAAGTCGCCTTGTTTTCCTTACAAGGTGGTGTGCATTATTTGTTCCCGCAGGCACTGGTGCTCTTAGACATCAGCCCTGATCAGTCAATGGTGGATGAAGGAATGGCCCGGGAAGTCATTAATCGCATTCAGAAACTTCGCAAGAAGGTCAGTTCGTCAGCTGAAGAATAAGCCACTACTTTGGATTGTTGTGGAACGCAGAAGAGGCCAGGTCCCCTTCACTCCCCTCTTAGTACTTCCAAGCCAGATCTGACCAGGCTAGACCCCTTTGCATCCTGTTAAGTCTCTTGGGCTTCCACAAAATCGTGTTCTGCGGATGATACTTCTGACTGGAGAGAAGGTGACCCAAGATGACCATCTCGGAGGAAGGACAGAGGTGCAGTCAGTGGGGCAGGACTCTGATGCAGAGGAGACCCGCTCAGCAGGGAGCTGGGGAAGGCCTTGGAGTCTGGGAGAGAGCCCACAAAGCCTCTATCGTGTGCGGTCTGTGTCAGTTCACCGCTCTGTGAGCGGGTTCTTAGTTATTCCTTGGTTTCAGCACTCCGGAAGTGCTGCTTGTGCTGTGTGCTAAGACCTGACGCTGTCCTACCTTTTGTTAAACAAAACAGTAAATTGTGTCCTGCAGTGTCCGTACAGATAACGTGGCACGGGACAGGACAGCAGCCTTTGTCCCACAGTTACTTCAAGTTTAATTGACAAAATATGCTTCTCTTTCTCAATTTTCTGCTTGTACTTGCAGTGCAATCTGGTTCCTACAGACGAAATAACAGTTTATTATAAAGCATTGTCTGAAGGGCGGTATCTGAATGACATCATTGAAAGCCACACGGAGTTTATATTTGCCACCATAAAGGCTCCCTTGAAACCATATCCAGTTTCTACATCAGATAAAATTCTGATTCAAGAAAAAACCCAGGTGAGTTGTATTGAACTACTCAAAGATTGCAAATGTTCGCATCTTGATACTCCTTCCCCAACTAGGGTGGAATATTACTAAGGCCTGAAGTTTTTCTCCGGACACTAGCGTGTAGGATCAGAGTGAAGTCCAAAAGGGATGTGCAAGGAAAGGCAGAACTGCTTCACAACAGTTTTTCTTGGCAGAAATATCCCTGAGCGTACATGAGATTTGCCAGGAAGTCATGGCCATGTGGACCCATTATATCTAAAACAAAACAAAAACCAGTGCTTGGGATTGCAGTAGTTATCACAAAAAAACAAGCAGCAGTTGTTTTGAAAAAACTTTTAGCTCTTAGATAGTAATTTGAACATTAAACCACAGCAACATCTCCTGTTGCCATGTCAAGGTCTGATACTAAGACATGGAATTAGCTGGCCATAATCCCGAAGCGTCATTTGCAGTATGTCTCAATCGGTTGTTCAGTCATTCTCTCTGTGTCATTCCTGCTTTTTTTTATGGGATAAATGAGAAAGACAAGAAGGGGCTGTAAGCAGCTGGCTGTCTTTTCAGAGGAGTGAGTGGCAGTTTAGTTATATTCTTTATTTTGGATATAGTTGAATTGTTTGTTCTGTTTAAAAATAAGTACATGTCGCTTATATAATCAGAAAAAAAAAAAGGCTTGCCTAGAAGAACAAGGATTTAAAAAACTTGGTACCATTTGCAATTCTCAACTCTTGAATAAGATTCAGTATGTTCATGCCGAAAAGTCGTAATCGCTGTTATTACTTGATTTGGTAAACTGCGGTCAGATGCTGCAGTCACTGATGTGATGTCATATGCTCAGTTAAAGGGGTCTGAGCTGGAGATTACACTCACCAAAGGATCATCTCTGCCTGGCCCTGCTTGTGCATATGTCAATCTTAGCATTTGTGCAAATGGCAGCGAGCAAGGTAAGAGCAAAAGGATTCCATGGTTTGTGTGGCATTTTTAAGTTAAGCCTGTTTATCTCTTATGATTTCAATTTTATGGGTTTATACCGTGGCTAAGATAAAGCGGGTTTATTTCTCTCTCTCGTGCTAAATGCAACTACCAGAAATCTTCAGGAAGTTCGTGGGGCAAGCATACTGTGAAAACCTGTGTGTGAATTTTCACTTTTCTTAACCTGCTATGCCACGGTGCTAGCCCCCATGGTTTTCAATCTGAAACTAGCCATGTGCCAGATACTGTAATATATAACCTGGTAGTTTTAAAAAAGAACAATATCAGCTTTGCAATGGGTGAAATTAATTAAGGTTACCTAATCAAGTGGCCAAAGCTGTCTGCCAATATTTTTGGAACAGACTCCAGGTTTTTCATTTAGGTAGAGTTGAAAACTTGACCTCAAAAGGATTGTCCATGAAATGGAAAATTGATAAGTTGAACATCATCAAAATTTAAGTTTTTTTCATCCTAAGAATAGAAAATTTTGAAAGCTATAGATTGAGGTTTTTATAAATAACATAGCCAACAAAGAACTTACAAAGACCTTTTAAAACTCAATAGCAAAACAATCCAATTTGAAAATGGTGAAAAGATATGAACAAAATTTTCCAGGAAGAGTTCACAAGTAATAGAAATTTGTGTGAAAATAATCAACATCATTAGCATAATTTAGATTGACTTAGGGGAAATACAGATTAGAACCAGAATGGTTAGAAAATAGTGACAACTTAAAGTTCAGGCTGCGGGTCCAGCACAATGACTCAGTAGCTAAATCCTTGCCTTACAAGTGCTGGGATCCCATAAGGGTACTAGTTCATGTCTGGGCTGCTCTGCTTCCCATCCAGCTCCCTGCATGTGGCCTGGGAACGCAATAGAGCATGGCCTGAAGTCTTGGGACCCTGCACCCACGTGGGAGACCTGGAGGAAGCCCCTGGGTCCTGGCTTTGAATCGTCTCAGTTCTGCCCATTGTGGCCACTTGGAGAGTGAATCAGCAGATGGAAGATCTTTGTTTCTCTGCCTTTCCAATAAAAATAAATGTTAAAAAAAAATCCAGACTGTAAAACTTGGTAGAAAGCCATTTGTATAATCTTAATCTGTTAACAGATCAGACTATAGCATTTGGAGACATGCTGTTGATAATGGAATGTATTATTAGATACTTATGCCTTCAGCGTTCCCAAAATTAAAAAACAAAAATTGGATTTCTAAATGTATTTCATATTTCATAATAACAGGGTTTTAGATGAGGGATTGTGAACTTGAAAAAATACTGTCCCATCAGCTATCTTTTGATTATCATTTGCATAGTAAACCCATTTTCCATCAAAGTACTGGCAATTCCAAATCTGACTAAAGATGCGGAGTGCTGGATCTCATATCACTAGTAGCAATGTACTGTGGTACAGCCAGTCAGGAAAAGAGTTTGGCAGTGCCCTTAAAAGCTACACATGTGCCTGCCTTAATTATTTAGCGATTGCACTCCTAGGCATTCCAGAAAACTGACAGTTCATGTTCACCAAACAAAAATCAAAGCAAAAGCCCTCCACATGAATGTTTATAGGGACTGTATTCGTAATTACTCAAAACTGGAGACAATTGAGATATTCTTCAACAAGTAAAAATAGCTAAACACGCTGGTGCTCCCACATCATAGAATACAACTCAGCTACTAATTAATGCGGAGATTAATCCTGACTGAAGAAAATGTTCCAGATTGTTCTGTAATTCATGGTTAACATTATGTTGCATTCTTTTACATGGCTGATCAGCGTGGAAAGGGTTGAGGGTCAGGGGATAGTTGGTGAGATCGTTATTTACACGTTTTCTTCTTGTGTATGGTGGGAGGGAGATACAAGAGGGGAAGCCATGCCCAGCCACCCAACTGCCGCATTAACTGGGGAATTGGGGAACTGCCACCTGATGTCATCCTTGTGTCCCCATTATGGACCATTTTCTGCTCATGTGGTTTCTGTAGTTCTGAGATGCTGCTGATACAGTCACTGCAAGGATGAGGAAATCCTTCCAAGGTTGATTGGCTGTCATAGTCCACTTCAGAATCTTCGTTAGTTCAGATATTTGTCAACCTTCACTGGGGCAGTTGATCAGGCTTTTTTGCCTTCCATTCTCAGCAAACCAATGGGTGCCCAGCCCTGCCCAACACACCCTTGGCCCCCCATACCACAATGGGAGTGGCAGCCCAGTCAGAGGGACCCCCAATAACCCCCACTAGACTGATCCCCCAGCTCTGGTTTCTGTGCCCTGGTCTGTTCTGCCCCACATCCCATTGAGATCTCATATACATTGGGCATTGAAGCCTAACTCAGCCCAACCAACTCCACCCTCCAGCATGCACTCATGCCAGTGGGTGCATTAACCTTCTGTCTGGCCAGGTCCACTCCCAGTCCTAGTTTTCGTGCTCACCAGTGGGAATTGTACCCCATCAGAGAGGAACCCATGACCTCCCCCTGGACCTACTCACTGCCCTGGATATTGCACTTTCCAGGTGGTTCTGCAGTCTAGTTCAACAGGACTTGCCCCCAGTCCCAGCACTTGCCAGATGATGCTGTGGCAAAGCCCAACCTGCCTGCCTTTATTCTGTCTCATGCCCGTACCAGTGGATACAATCGGATATACCAGCCTGGCTCTCTCCCTAACCCAGTTCTCATGTAGACCAAGAGGTGTTGTAGCCCTGAGCAGTGGCTCAGCAGTGAAGTCCCTGCTACTCCCCTGCTAGGCTCACCCCCAGCCCCAGTCTCACGTGTGCTGGTGGGTGCAGCGGTCCAGTCTAGTGTGGCCCGTCTCACCTCAGTATTTGCCAGCAGGTGCTAAAGCCTGTAATGACCCGGCCTGGTATGTTGCATTCTTAAAAGATAAAATTTTCATGATAAAGATTTTTTCCAGGAATTAAGGAGAGAATGAGTTGGAAGGAATCAGTGGTAGATATTTCAAAGCCACATGAGGATGCTTGTGCTAACAGAACTGTTTTGTATTTTGATGCTGGTGACGGATACAAGATTTTATAGAGGTAATAAAACTAAATAGCACTAAACACACATGCTGCTCAGTGATTAAATATTGAATTGCTTTGATGTCAATATCCTGGTTATAGATTTGCACTATAGTTTTTGTAGTCTAGGTTTTTTTTGTTGTTTGCCTTTTGGTGAGATTATTTATTTATTTATTTATTATTGCCAAGTCAGATATACAGAGAGAAGGAGAGACAGAGAGGAAGATCTTCCATCTGATGATTCACTCCCCAGGTGACTGCAACGGCTGGTACTACGCCGATACGAACCTGGGAGCAAGGAGCTCTTTCAGGTCTCCCATGCGGGTGCAGAGTCCCAAGGCTTTGGGCTGTCCTAGACTGCTTTCCCAGGCCACAAGCAGGGAGCTGGATGGGAAGCTGGGCAGCCGGGATTAGAAGCAGCGCCCATATGGGATCCCAGCGGGTTCAAGGCGAGTACTTTACCTACTAGGCCACTGCATCTGGCCCTATTTGTTTATTTGAAAGAGCTTCAGGAGAAGAGTGAGAGCCACAGAGAGACATCTTCCTTTTCCTGATTCACTCTCCAGATGACCACGGTGACAGTCCGGGACTGAGCTAGGTTGAGTAAAACCAGGAGCCAGGAGCTCCATTTGGGCCTACCACATGTGTGCAGGGGCCAAAACACTTAGACTATTTTCCACTGCTTTCCCCAGGCCATTAACAGGAAGTGGAACACCTGGGACATTAACCAGTGCTCATTTGGGATACTCAAGTTGCAGGTGGTGGCTTTACTGGCTATGCCACATGTTTTATAAGATTTTACCAGTGGGAGAAACTGATAAAGAGTTCACTGTATCCCCCTATTTCCTATTGTTGCATGTTTCTCTGCAGTTACCTCAAAGTAAGATACTTCAGTAAATCAATAAAGTAACTGTCTGTAATTATATGAGTCAATATCAGGGGTCACTTGAAGACTTTTTTTCAAATAATGCTCAGATCTTTTGTTTGATCATTCACACTCCAAGTGACCGCAACGGCTGGAGCTGCGCCAATCCGAAGCCAGGAGCCAGGAACTCCTCTTCCAGGTCTCCCACGTGGGTGCAGGGTCCCAAGGCTTTGGGCCGTCCTTGACTGCTTTCCCAGGCCACAAGCAGGAAGCTGGATGGGAAGTGGAGCTGCCGGGATTAGAACTGGCGCCCATATGGGATTCCAGAGCGTTAAAGGAGAGGACCTTAGCTGCTAGACCACCGCACTGGGCCCTCCGATGTTATTTTTAACCTGAGCTATGGTAATTTACAAACAGCTCAAAAATATTAAGTTTTGAATTTAAGAAAGGACAAGAACAGATTGCCTAGTGGAATCCTGTGCCTGTAGTACATCTACTGAGAGCTGAGAGCTGCCAAAACACTGTTGAGGGCATTAATTTATGTTATATACTGATCTAAATTTTATTTTTCTGAATAAGATCTTCTTTTTGTGACTTCTTAGGTGGAGTCTTGCTTCTGGAAAATCCAAAGGGTGAAAACAGATTGGACCTTTTAAAACTGAAGAGTGTCATCACTAGCATTTTTGGTGTTAAAAGTACAGAACTGGCTGTCTTTCATGGTACAACAGGTATGTGGAAAGTAGGATAATGTCTGTGTCCGCAACCGGAGGCAGGCTGGTACACATCTTCATTTAAGGCACTGAACCCCATCGGCAGTGAAGTCTCTAACCCTGCCCTCTTGCCTATTACTCATGTAGATTTGGGGATTCAGACTTCCTTGTCGAGATTCGGCTTTATAAAACACAGTGAATGAATCTTTCTACATTATAAATTAGTTCAGTCCCCCTGTTAGGTGTTGAATTGCCGATTGCCTCGACCTCAGTGTATGACCTTCTTTGGAAATAGGATGGTTACACATATAGATAGTTTAGATACAGTCACACTGAAGTAGGATGATGCAGTGGGCCTGTTGTCCAAATGAGAGGATGACTGGGAAGATGCAGGAAGCGCCTAGGAAAACTCCCGGTGGTGGCAAAGGCAGAGGCTGCGGCGATGTAGCTAGCTGCATGCTGAGCGCCTGTGCAGCTTGCTGTGAGTCTCTGAAAGCTAAGAGGCAAAGAGAACTCCCCTTCTGGGCCTTCGGAGCTGCTGTCTAAGCCTCCCAGTTCCTAGCAGTTTATGTTAGTAGACTCAGAACTAATACTTAGATAAATTTCACTGTATTTTCAGAAGCTTTTCGATTCAAAAGGTTTTTTTTTTTTTTTTCTACTTTTAAAGAAGAAATACAAACAACCAATTAACGGGAAAACTGAATCCTAATCGTGATTAGGAAGGTACTAATAAACGAGATTAAAAAAACCACACAAACCATCTTGGCAATAAACCAGGGACAGACTCAGAGTTTTAGCTATTGTCAAGAATGTTGCGTAATAAGAGCTGTAAATTATTTGTGTTCCTTCCAAGACACTGACTTTCTGTTGGGTCCCACCTGCAGCCCATGCCTGTGAATCAGTACAGATCCATTGCTGTGGCTGTTTCTCCTTGCAGACCAAATGAAGTGCTAGCTGTACTGACACAGCCAGATCTACTGTTCTTGAGGGGACCAGCATCAGAGGAGCTGTGTCTGCCTTTGCTCGTGCAACACACTGTACAAAGCATCCACAGGCAGCCTTCAGTTTCTTCTGTCAGTTGGTCCCAGGGAGCTTTCCACAAGGCCATGAGTATGATATCATTGAGAGAAGATGCTTTAGGACCCCAGGCAGGGCTTGGATATCTAGTGCCTGATGGGGTTTGTTCCCTCTTTCCTAAGGAATTACTCCAGCCATTGATGAACACCACTTTATTCAGTGCACGCCCATGCACTATTGTTCAGGTCATAGCCACTACAGGCCACTCATCTCTGTTCCATCCCCAAGCAATGTTTGATTTTGTATGAATGAAATTACACTAGATATATTCTCTGTATCTTGCTTTTTCTACATATATGAGTCATTTTAATCTGCTAATTTCTCATATTTGAGTATAAGCTTTTTGTAATGAAGCTTGGAGTATTGATATATGATGATATTTTAATTGCATCCATAATACAGGGAATAGTTTTATATATTTTTTTAAATTTTATATCATTTTATGACACAGCTTCATAGGCTCTGGGATTTCCCTAATCCCTCCCCAAGCCCTCCCCCCATATTGAATTCCTCCATATTGTTACAGTAGTATAGTTCATATCCCGTCATGATTCCTTCATTGCGGGTATGTACCATGCATAGAGTCCAGCATTTTATTGTCCAGATAAATTCAGCAGTTTCTTTGGGAGACCATCTGTGGTCTGAAAGTAGAGCTGGTGGAATATCATCTCTTCCAATGAGATGTCACTACACAACTTCAATAACAGGGAGAAACATCAAAATTAACAACATTATGTAGTTAATTGACATGGTATTGAGTGACCAATATGTTAAAAAATGCGAGTTCTTAAGCACATGCTGTAACTACTTCCTTAGCATCTCAATTTTAGTATATACACAACCCACTACTATAAACTTTTTTTTTCCTCCCAAGCTAACATGTTTTTGAGTTTAACCTAAATCAGAGTGGCACAGGAACAATGGAAGAATCAACATTAACATCCATCATATATATAACAGCTGAATACAAACTTAAGATCAAAGTTTCTATGCAGTTACATTTTGTTTAGCATTAACAGTCATAAATTGATGACTTTAAACTTTGCAGTATATGGTGGTTAAGTATGGTTTTTACAGAACTTTGTGTTTTAACAATTGAAGAATAGAAAAGTTTTAGGCAGGCGAGCAGGGAAATCCCCAACAACCCAGTGAGTGAGGAAGTAACTGAGGCTGGAACTAGATAAGGACCAGAGAAAGCTCCTCTCCTGAGTCCAGAAGGAAATTTACAACCCTTTATCTCTGAGTGCCACCCCTCTGTTTTAAAGGGGACTGTACTTATAATTTCTTTCTCATCTATTGAATTATTTGTGTACACTAGTGCCATTGACTTGTGTTGTATCCTGCTACTCTTCCAAAGTCTCTTATGAGTTCCAATAGTCTCTTGACTGAGTCTTTTGGTTCTCCTATGTAAAGAATCATGTCTTTTCCAATTTGGATTCCTTTACTTCTTTTCTTTTTTTTTTTTTTTTTTTGCCTAATAGCTCTGGCAGGGACTTCCAATACTATATTGAAGAGTAGTGGTGACAGTGGACATCCCTGTCCAGTTCCAGATTTTAGTGGGAAGGCTTCCAGTCTTTTTCCATTTAGTATGATACTGGCATTGGGTTTTTCATAATTATTTTCATTGTGTTTTAGAATGTTCCTTCTATGCCTATCTTGCTTAGGGTTTTCAGCATGAAGTGGTGTTGGATTTTATCAAATGCTTTCTCTGCAGCTATTGAGAGGATAATATGGTTTTTATTTTTCATTTTATTGTGTGATGTATCACATTTATTGATTTGCGAATGTTGAACCATCCCCGTATGCCTGAAATGAATCCCACCTGGTCTGGGTGAATGATCTGCCTGATGTACTGTTGGATCCTGTTGGCTAGTGTTTTATTGAGGATCTTTGCATCTATATTCATTAAGAATATCAGTCTGTAGTTCTCTTTTTCTGTTGTTTCTCTGTATTAAGGTGATATTAGCTTCATAGAGTTTGGAAGGATTGCCTCTCTTTCTGTTGTTTGGAAAATCTTGTGGAGGATTGGGGTAAGTTCCTCTTGAAATGCTTGGTAGAATTCAGCAGTGAAGCCATCTGGTCCAGGACTTTCCTTGGGAGGGCTTTAATTACTGATCATCTCATTGCATGTAATAGGTCTATTTAGATTGTTAATTGTTTCTTGATTCATTTTGGTGGATTGTATGTGTCCAAAAATCTATCCATCTCCTCTAGGTCTGTGATTTGTTCACATATAGTTGTTTTTAATAGTTCCTGGTGTTTCTCTGTATGCCTAAGGTATCTGTTGCTATATCTCCTTTCTTGTCTCTGAAGCTATTGATTTGTATTTTCTCCCTCCTTTTTTTGATTAGTCGAGCTAGTGGGGAGTCTATTTTGTTGATTTTCTCAAAGAACCAGCTCATTGATTGATTGATCTTACGTACTGTTCTCTTGGTCTCTATTTGGTTTATTTCCTCCCTTATTTTGATTATTTCTTTTTTTTCCTAGTAATCTTGGAATTGCTTTACTGTTGCTTTTCTAGTTCTTTCAACTGTAAGGTTAGCTGATTTACTTGCTGCTTTTCTCATTTCCTAATATAAGCACTGATTGAATTGACCTTTCCTCTTAATACTGCCTTGATTGTGTCCCATAAGTTTTAATATGTTGTATTGATGCCTTCATTTGTTTCAAGCAAACTTTTAATTTTCCCTTTGATTTCTTCTCTGATCCATTGTTCTTTTAGTAACATATTATTCAGTCTCCATGTGTTTGCAAGTCTTCTTGGATGTTTTGACTTCTTGGTCTCTAACTTCACTCCTTGATGATCTGAGAAGAAGCATGGTATAATTTCAATTTTTTAAAATTTGTTGAGGCTTGTTTTGTGACCTATAACATGGTTAGATCTGGAGAAGGTTCCATGCACTGATGAAAAAAAAGTGGATTTTCTGTGTATAGGATGAAAGGTTTGATAGATATCAACTAATTCCATTTGCTCTAGAGTTTGGGTGAGTCTGTTGTTTCTTTGCTGAGTTTCTGTTTTTTTGATCTGTCCACTGATGTTAAAGGGGTAATAAGGTCACCCACTATGATTGTATTGAAGTCTATTTCTCCCTTTAAGTCTATTAATGTTTGTTTCATGTAGCTAGGTGCCTTGGTATTTGACACATATATATTTATTATGGTGATATCTTCTTGCTGAATGGATCCCTTGATCATTATAGGGTATCCTTTTTCATCTCTTTTAATGTTTTTCACATCAATGTCTATGTCATCTGAAATAAGAATGGCTACCCCTGCACATTTTTCCTTCCATTCTATTGGAATATCTTTTTCCATCCTTTAACTTTCAGTTTCCTCTGATCTTTGTTAGTGAGGTATAACTCCTGTAAGTAGCAGATCGATGGGTTTTGTTTTATGATCCATTCCTCTAATCTATGGCATTTGGTTGATGAATTTAAACATTTACATTCAATGTTAATATTGGATAGGTGGCAGTTTGGTTCTGTCATCTTAGTAATGTGCTATTCTTTGATTGAGTCTTCTGTTAGTCTTTCAGTGGGGTGTTCTCCACATATGCCTTTGGTTTTGGTAGCTGTTCTTCCTTTCCTCTTTCACTAGAACAGCCTTGAGTATTAGCTTTAGGGCTGGTTTGGAGGACATGAATTTTTGGAATTTATTGTGGAAGAATTTTATTTCATTTTCAAAAAGGAGAGCTTTGCAGGATATATTATTCTGGGCTGGAAATTTTTCCCTTTTAGAGTCTGGAATATATCACTCCATTCTCTGCTGGCCTGTAGTGTTTCCTCTGAGAGGTCAGCTGTGAGTTTGATTGGGGTTCCTGTATAAGTCACTTGATTTTTGTCACTTGCACATTGAAGGATTTTTTTTCCTTGTGTTCAACTGAGGAGAGCTTGATTATCATGCGTCTTGGTGAAGGTCACTTTTTTCAACCCTATTTTGAGTCCTGTGCCCCTCCTGGATGTTGTTTCCCAATTCTTTCTCTAGGTTAGGGAAGTTTTCATCTATTATTTCATTGAATACACCTTTAGTCCTAGTTGCTCTTTCTGCACCTTCTGGAACTCCCATAATTCTTAATGTTGAGCCTTTTAATTGTATCTTTTAATTCTTGTATGTTTGTTTTAGCTTGGCCTAGCTCTGCTTCTAGCTTTTTGTTTATTTCCGCTTGGTGACAGGAAATATCTTCCAATTCTGGTATACTTTCTTCTGCTTCATTCATTCTATTTTTCAGACTCTCTGCTGTACTTTTAATTTATTCCACTGTATTCTTCTGAAATGTCAGCTTTCATTTTATTCATTTCCTGTGCAACAAATTCTTTAAATTCTTTGAACTCTTGTATTACGTGCTTCTCATTGTTAGTCAGAAACTTTATAATAAGTTTTCTGAGTTCTATGTCCCACATTTTTTCAGTGTCTTCCTCAGTTAACTCTGGGGCTGGTAGAGGCTTTTGTTCCTCTACCAGGAAGTTTTCAGCAACATTCATTGTGCCTCTGCCTTTTCTTTTAACTTTTGACACAGCAATCCTGTTTGGTGTATTTTTCTCCTTAGTGTAGTTTTCTTTTTTTTTTTTTTTTTTTTTTTATTGTTGCTTACATTATATTATGTAGTACAGTTTTATAGGCGCTGGGGATCCCCCCCACCCCTTCCATACCCCTCCCCCCATGGTGGATTCCTCCACCTTGTTGCATAACCATAGTTCAAGTTCAGTTGAGATTCATTGCTTGCAAACACCTGCCTAGCATAAAGTTCAGCGTCTTATTGTCCAGTAAGTTCAGTGGCCTCTTGGGGAGACCTTCTATGGTCTGAAGATAGGTCTAACAGAGTAAAGATCCAGTCAGTTAAAAGCCCCAACAAGGCCTCAGTATCATTATACAACATTATGGAATTAATTGACATAGTATTGGGTAAACAATATGTTAAAAATAATGCAAGTTCGTGTTAGGAAGTCACCAACTGTCCCAGATACCTGGTTTAGCAGCAGCACTGATCTTGTGTAAACACACAAATTGGCACTCAGTGGAGCACTGCCTGAGAGCCGGGGCTGTTGGCTTTCTGATCCAGGGACCACACAGCCCCTGTAGGATGTGAAACTGGCGCTGTCCGCTCTGTGAGACCAGCCGGGTGTGACTAACTGGAATAGTTGCCCACCTCCGGCATTTGATCCTTGTGCTGTTAGCTCCGAACTACCACCAGTCAGCCCAGTGGAGTCCACAGCTCCCTTTCTGTTCGTTGCTGGGCCAAAGTATTTGGCAGGATTGGCCAGTCCCAGCCTGCCTTCACCTCCCGAGCTCCCCGTGTGAACCCAAGCTCCCACCTGGCTGTTGCAAGGGCTGCTCTGTGGCTGCCTCTGGATGCCTGGTTATCTTGGAGTCCGGATCACAGTTCATGGGTGGCTGCTTCGTTTCTGTTCTCTGTTACACAGTTCTGCCATTGTCACCTCTTTCCTGTGTCCAAGGGTTCTCCAGGTACCTCCCTGTTGACTTCCTTACCCCTAACTTTTTCTGTAATCTGCTCTCTGTTCTTTACCCTGTCTAATAATTTTCTGTCATCTCAAACATGTCTGTACCCTTTGCCGCCATCTTGATTGGATCTCAGTTTTATATGTTAACATAAAATAAGGGGAAAAGTTTTGTATTTTAAGTTACAGATAGTACGGCATTTGTGTTGCAGTATTAATATTCCATACTTTTGCATGTCATTAAGGTATAGAAAAAGCAGTGGCCTTTGGTAACAAATTAAGCGGAAATCATCATTGTTAAAGTGTACATAATAGTCATAACTATTATGTGTATATATATATGTATATATATATATACATAGTAAAGTGGATGACCTGAGCTGTTAACCATTTAACCCTGAAAGAATTCTTGTTTTATTTCTAGAAATACAAAACCAAACCGACTTACTGAGCCTTAGTGGAAAAACACTGTGCGTGACTGAGGGGTCAGCACCGTCGCTGGTCAGCAGTCCCAGTACCCTGCTCTGTCAGTATATCAACCTGCAGCTCCTGAACGCAGAGCCCCAAGGTAAGTGTCTCCCACCCCCCACCCCCACCCCACTCAGGAGGCATTAAGATTTCTTCTAATATTCCCGTCTCTCGCTTAAATGCTTTTTTTTTTTTGGCATTCATTTACGTATTTATTTAAAGGCCCAATGAGGGGCCTGCCCTGTAGTGTAGTGGGTTAAGCCTTAACCTGCAATATTGACATCGCATTATGTGCACCAGTTGGAGTCCTGGATACTCCAAAGAAATGTAACTCCTTGGTAATGTGTCTGGGTAAAGCTGTAAAACATCGCTTAAACACCTCCACCCATGTGGCAGAGCCAGAAGAAGTTCATGGCTTCTGGCTTTGGCCTGGCCCTGCCCTAGCTATTGAATGGCCATTTAGGCAGAGAACCAGTGTATGTCTGACTTTTCTCTCTCACTCTGTCTCTCTCTCTCTCAGTTCTCAGTCATTCTGCCTTTCAAATAAATACTTTTTTTTAAAAAAAAAGAATGACACAGAGAGAGAGAGAGATCTTCCTTCCGCTGTGTAGTCCACATGTGCCCACATCAGCCAGGTTGGGCCAGGCTGCAGCTCAGAGCCAGGAACTCAGTTCTTATCTCCCATCTTTCTGACTCCCTTTGCGTCTGTAAATAAGCCTTTCAATCAACCATTCAGGCGATGACATGATTTAGGACTGGCATTGTGACATGTGTTAAGCTGCTGCCTATGACACTGGCATCCCGTACGAAGGTCAGTTCCACTCGTGGCTGCTCCACTTTCTATCTGCTAATGCACCTGGCAAAGCAGTTGAAGATGACTGAAGTCGTGTGGCCCTATACCCACATGCAAGACTCAGACGGAGCATCAGGCTCCTAGCTTCAGCCTGGCCCAGTCCCAGCCATTGTCACCATTTGGGGAGCGGACCAGTACGTTGAAGATATCTCTGTCTTCCTTTCTCTCTCCCACTCTTTGTAACTCTGCCTTTCAAGTAAAGAAAATCTTTTAAAAGCAAGTGAAATAAATTGGATAAAAATTATGAGGTCCGGAGTGGTGGCCTAGCGGCTAAAGTCCTTGCCTTGAATGCTCTGGGATCCCATATGGACACCAATTCTAATCCCAGCAGCTCTGCTTCCTTTCCAACTCCCTGCTTGAGGCCTGGGAAAGCAGTCAAGGACGGCCCAAAGCCTTGGGACCCTGTACTCACGTGGGAGACCCGGAAGAGCTTCTGGCTCCTGGCTTCAGATTGGTGCAGCTCTGGCTGTTGCAGTCCCTTGGGGAGTGAAAGATTCGATGGAAGATCTTCCTCTCTGTCTCTCCTCCTCTGTATTTGACTTTGCAATTAAAAAAAAAAATTACATGTAAATGAAAATTAAGTGAAAGAAAAGTGTAATTTGTAGTTTTAACTTTTTTTTAAAGATTTATTTTTATTGCAAAGTCAGGTGTGTATATATATATATACACAGAGGAGGAGAGACAGAGAGAAATATCTTCCATCCACTGATTCACTCCCCAAGTGAGCGCAACGGCTGGTGCTGCACCAATCCAAAGGCAGGAGCTCTTCCAGGTCTCCCACGCGGGTGCAGGGTCCCAAAGCTTTGGTCCGTCCTCCACTTCTTTCCCAGGCCACAGGCAGGGAGCTGGATGGGAATTGGAGTTGCCGGGATTAGAACCGGTGCCCATACAGGATCCTGGCACATTCAAGACGAGGACTTTAGCCGCTAGGCTACTGTGCTGGGCCCAGTTTTAACCTTTTTATTAATGCTCTGCAAATGTATATTCTTCCATGTCTTAATCAGTTGGTGTTTAGTTTTTCGTTAGCGTTTAGGATCCTCATTTTACTAATATTTAGTGAAATCTGGAGCCTCTTCACTTGGCTATGTCCTGATTGTCTGTTCACCTAGCTGCTAGGCCTGTGTGACTTAATTTCTCATTTTCCCTGTTCCCTTTGCTGCAGCCTCTGCTGCTTCTTCCCCGCCTCCTTTTTTTTTTTTTTTAAGGATTCATGCATTTCTGTGTGTGAAAGGTAGCAATGAACAGAGAGAAGGATCTTCCACCTGCTGGTTCATTCTTCACATGCGTGTGACAGAACATCCATGGCGGGCGAGGATGAAGAGCAGCCTGGAACTCCCACCTGGGCTCCAACCTTAATGGGAGGTTCACTGGCCTGAACCCGTGTTAGAAGCCAGAGCATCTGGGACCCAAACCAGCTCTCTGACAGGATGCCCGCATCCCCCGTGCTACAACACCAGCCCTTCCCTTGTCTGCTCTGAAATGCTTATAGTTCATGTTTCTGCATGAACTATAACTCAGTTGTCACATCCCTCCTCTGCTGGCCCAAGGCCTCCTGCACTCCTCTTTGGAAAACTTTAGAACTCTTTTAGAGGGTGAATTGTCTGAATGAAAGCACTTTGTTCTTTCTTCTGTAGAGTGCTTAATGGGCACAGTGGGGACTCTGCTCCTGGAAAACCCTCTCGGCCAGAATGGACTCTCCCACCAAGGTCTTCTTCATGAAGCAGCCAAAGTGTTTGGCCTGCGGAGCAGGAAGCTGAAGCTGTTTCTCAATGAGACTCAAACACAGGGTAAGGGGATTATGGAACCATACGGTTTTGTTTATTTGTTTTGGTTTGGTTTGTTTTTTGGGGGGTGGGGTGGGGAATCTTTTCTCACAATTTGGTAGCATGCCTGAGAGCTATTAATGGCACTGTTATTTTTTTTCTTTCTTCTTTATTTTGCCCCGAAGTCAACCATAATGTATCCATAACAATTAATAGGATGATTCCTTTGGAAATCTAAGGACATTCTCAGAGTGTTATTTGAAATGCATGCTAGCAGTTTATAAAGCACCATGTTCATATGTGTTTTCACATTGAGCGTCACTCTGAAGAGCAAGATCACCGGGTGACATATTCCACCTGTAGTGATTCAGGAACCAGGAGCCCGGTGATTTGCAGAAACTGGTGTTTACTGACAATTTGTTTCCTCATCTCTCTTCACATTTTTTTCTTCATCTTTTCCTCTTTCACCTTACGTGTCATTCCATTATGGGAGATTTGGGCTGATTTATCTTACCCTTGTTCCACTGCAGGCAAGGTGTCTTTCCTCTGCCTTCAGGTGGATTTTCCCTTTGTGTCTTTCTGCAATTTCACGATAATCTGCCTTAGCATACTTTTTTTTTTTTTTTTTACTAAAGGATACTTCCTTTCTTTTATACTGTTTGGGTTTCCATGTTTCTGCTTCTCTTACTCATTTATACCCATCTTACCCATCGAGAGTGGCACGACAGGGACACGAACTGGAGCCCATGTGGGATGCTGGCGCTTGAAGGTGCAGGATTAGCCTGTTGAGCCATGCTGCTGGCCTCACAATGAGGGGTTCATCTCCATCTGGACTAACCGCATGTCAGTGGCTTGCTAAGGACCGGTGACTAGTCGCCAGCACGTGGGGCAGGGCATTGCCAGTCCATTTCCTGATCCTAAAGTCTACCCCTATGGCCGCCCGTTACTTGCTTTCAGAAGACACTCAGAAAATAAAAATGGCACAGAGCTCCTGAGCATTTCTCTGTTGTATGTATGATGCACGCCATTGCCCTTGGCAATGTATGATGCGTGCCATTGCCCTTGATAAGCACCTTCTCCAGCCACAACCTGGCCCCGAGAGATCCCAGCTTCCCAGCATCCAAATGCTTACACAGGCGGTCTACATGGTCAAATGTGGGCCTCCTGCCTGCCAGAGTGTTCTTGGGGTACACTGAGGGCCCCACGGCTTTAAATGCACCTCATCGCCTTCGGCCTGCCCCTCACCATGGCTCACCAGCATGCTGCTTCCAAGGAGTGTTTCTTGTCTCACGTTCTTCTGCTTGCAGCCCTCACGGCTCCCCTTCCTCTAAGGCATCAGGAGCTTGAGCTTGGCCCACAGCTAGATCCTTTTTCTTGTTCCTTTGGTCTTTATCTGTTTTTTCAATTATCTATCTAAGAATCTGACTATACAGCAAGGGGTTTTCAGTCCCAACTCACTCGGCTTTTCCATCGTGTTATGGTAGTAAAAACTAAATGTAGTTTCTTTTTTTTAAGATTTATTTATTTATTGGAAAGTCAGATATGTAGAGAGGAGGAGAGACAGAGAGGAAGATCTTCCATCTGATGATTCACTCCCCAAGTGAGCGCAACAGCTGGTGCTATGCCGATCCAAAGCCAGGAGCCAGGGACTTCTTCCGGGTCTCCCACATGGGTGCAGGGTCCCAAGACTTTGGGCCATCCTCACCTGCTTTCCCAGGACACAAGCAGGGAGCTGGATGGGAAGTGGAGCTGTCGGGATTAGAACCATACGGGATCCTGGCACGTTCAAGGAGAGGACTTTAACCGCTAGGCCACGCCGCCGGGCCCTAAATGTAATTTCTATTTTGAAGTTTTATGTGAAACTTCAGAAATATTCTTGACCTCTTTTCTTAGCCTTCACATCCATTGCACAGAGTGCTGTTTGTTGGACCAAGAAAGAGAAAAAATATCACCTTCTCACTTGTTTTGTACAGTGATGGATCATAATTGAAGCTGATGAGGGTAGAATCGTGTGTGACTTATGTGCTTACAGTGCTGTGTGTGACTCACCGACCAGGCTGCTAGCTGCGTTCCTTGTGCTCTGGGCTTAGGTAGGCAAGAGTGAAGTGGGTGAGAGGTTAAGTGACTTAGTCTAGTTTCCCATTTAGTCCCCATAACCTTATTTTGATTGAATTGCCTTTCATACTTTCATACTATGTTAGTATCTTGGTAAAGTGGAAGAGCCATGAAGTATTTAAAACCTTACAAAATCTTTGCTGCCTTGTCTGTTCCACTAGACTGTCTGGGTCTCCAAATTTTGTAATTATCTATTCAGGAGGTAATATAAATCTGCTAGGACTAGAGCTATGTTTATTTTTGAGAAAGCTGATTATTTTTATATTAACCTTTAGGTAGAAATGAAATGCCCCACAGTAGGCAAATATTTTTCTTTATTTTATTTTATTTTATTGTTTTATTTTATTTTATTTTATTTTATTTTATTTTATTTTATTTTATGTTTGTGATGTAGTATGTTTTAACCAGTTGTTTTTGTGGAATCTCACAAGGTTTCATCTTTGGCCCTGCTTAATATCTTGCATTCTTCGAGTTAACACTGCATGTTGACCCTTCCCGTAGACAGAGGGAATGGCCTGGATAGTACCCACTGGTAGGCACGCCCCCCCTGGAGTCTCCCATAGTGGACTTAGATCTTCTAACTCCAACTGCAAAGAATTCAGCAACCACACAGGCCCAGCAGCACTGCACCAGCCCCGGGGCTATAGAGGTTCCCAAGCTGAGAGAGAACTCCAAGTGTCCACAGGGCTCAGCCAGGATTCAGCCGGGTTTCCCAGGTGGCAGAGGTGGAGTGAATCTAAAGAACAGATATTCCATGGTCTACTCAAACTCCTCGTACTTTCACTTACATTACTAGCCTAAAGTGTTGCTCTTCTTGAACTAACTTTATCTGGTGCTTTTCTTGTATAATGAACATTTCTTGTCCCCTGCCAAAATAAATTCTGACACTTTGTACCTGTTAATTTACACTGGACACATTAAAATAATTTCTGTCTATCTCAGGTTCATTTAACATAACTTACCCCCCATTTCTATATTTACTAACATTGTAAAGCAAAAGGCTTGGGTAGAGTCTGGGTTGTGTGCAGATACTGCATCAGCAAGGCAGTGGCACAAAACCAGCTGTTTTTCACCTGATTATGAACTCTACTAAATGAAACCCTGGCCTGGAGATTCTTCATTGGTAACTCCTTGCTTCTGTACTAAAAGCCAAATGTTTTCTAACCTGTTTTCCTTCCTTCCTCGCCTTGAACACACCTGGGATCCCATATGGGTGTCGGTTCTAATCCTGGCAGCTCCACTTCCCATCCAGCTCCCTGCTTGTGGCCTGGGAAAGCAATCGAGGATGGCCCAAAGCCTTGGGACCCTGCACCCCTGTGGGAGACCCGGAGGAAGCTCCTGGCTCCTGGCTTCAGATCGGCGCAGCACCGGCTGTTGCGCTCACTTGGGGAGTGAATCAGTGGGTGAAAGATCTTCATCTCTATCTCTCCTTCTCTCTGTATATCTGACTTTCCAACTTAAAAAAAAAAAAAAGAAAGAAAAAGAAAAAGCAAGGCAGAGTGGCAAAGACCAGAGATCTTTCTGCTGCTTGTTCACTCCCCATGTGGCCACAATGGCTGGACTTGGACCAGGACAAAGCCAGGAGCCAGGAGCTTCATCTGGGTCTCTCATGTGTGTTCAGGGGCCCAAAGTATTTTTTGCCATCCTCTGTTGCTTTCCCAGGCACATTAGAAAGAACTGGTCTTTAAAAAGCAGAGCATCTGGGATTTCAGTCAATACCCTGGGACACTGGAAGATCTCTCTCTCTCTTTTTCTTTGTAAATCTGCCTTTCAGATAAAAATAATTGTTTTTTTAAGAAATGAAGTATACTATCTAAAAGAATGTTTATTTTTACATTTTTTTTCTTCGTTCTAGAAATTACGGAAGACATCCCTATAAAGAGTCTGAACACGAAGACTGTTTACGTTTCCGTATTACCAACAACGGCAGATTTCTAACAGTGGATTACTGTGTCTCGGTCACCTTTTATAAACTTCAATCCATCACCCGCCCATGGATTTACATCCAAGTCCACGTACGTGAACAAACGGAGCCTGATGATGTCTCCCTTCAGGTTCATACATAATGCTGCTGTGGATCTAAAATTTAAATGGCTCGAACGATTGATCAAGTGACTTGAGAACACACAGTAGTGTTCGCGCGTTTCCATAAACACCTATGCAGTCAAATTGGAGCAGGTTTTCAAGTTACCTCAGCAACACAAAGTTTATTTCTATACTTGAGTTCTTAAGTCCAGATGGCAGAAGTGACTTAGATGGCATGGTATGGCCTTACAAACTTATCTGAGACCTCTTGAAGAAATGAACATGTTCTATATTTCTGCTGCCTGGATTTTCCTGGGTAATTTGATGGAATATTTTGTCTCAGTAAATCAGGCTAATAAAACGCTATCAAATAAAGATGTGTTGGAAGTAATCCATTCTCCCGCAGTATAATTTGTAATCTTTGAAAAACAGACTTTGAAGAATTCATTGGAGGCACATAGATAAAGGATATTAGGGGAGAGGGAGCAGGCATACGAAGAGCATCTTCGTGTTACAGACTGACAATTGTGGTAAAAGAAAAGGAAGGAAAACAGGTTAGAAAACATTTGGCTTTTAGTACAGAAGCAAGGAGTTACCGATGAAGAACCTCCAGGCCAGGGTTTCATTTAGTAGAGTTCATAATCAGGTGAAAAACAGGTGGTTTTGTGTCACTGCCTTGTTGATGCAGTATCTGCACACAACCCAGACTACCCAAGCTTTGACACAGATGCCACGGATCTAAAAGCACAGCAGCTTGAGCCCGTCAGCCACACTCACCGTGCCAAAAAGATGCAACTCAAGCACAAATCTACAGAATTGATGAGAATGGGAAACAGTGCGTAGAATCCGAAGAACTGGGCGGCAGGTAGGTGGGAAAAACTTGGAGTACTTAGGACAGCCCATTTATAAAATGAGTAGCAGAGCACCAGACGACATATGTATAGCTTAATATTGTTAGCACTAGTTGCCTGCAAGACTAAAGTTGAAGGGTTGGTACAAAGTAGTGATGGGTGGTTAAACTCTAGTGGCAGCTTCACCCACTCTACCACAGCACTGTCCCACCTGGATTAGCACCATGAGCAAAAGACTTTGTAGGGCCCAGAGCAATAGTCTAGTGCCTAAATCCTTACCTCACATGTGCCATGATCCCATATGGCTGCCAGTTTGTATCCCAGCTGCTCCACTGCCGATCAAGCTCCCTGCTTGTGGCCTGAAAAAAACAGCAGAAGATGGCCCAAAGCTTTGGGATCCTGCACCTGTGTGAGACCTGGAAGAGGCTCCTAAGCTCCTGGCTTCATACCTGCTCAGCTCTGGCTGTTGTGGCCACTTGGGGAGTGTAAATGGAAGATCTTTCTATCTCCCCTCTATGTATCTGCCTTTCCAATAAAAATAACTCTTAAAAAAAAAAAGATTTTTATCTATTTACTTGAAAGTCAGCTACCGACACAGACCAAGACGAAGACTGCCCGTTACTTGCACAGACACATGAGCAGGAGTTAGACTGGAAACAGAGCAGCCAGACACCAAATAGTTTGCATACACTATGCTGACATTGCAGAGTTGCACATGATGGCTTAACGTGCTGTGCCACACTACCAGAGCCTCATTTTTTAAAACAGTCTTGGGCCTGGCATGGTAGCCTTGTAGCTAAGGTCCTCGCCTTGAACACACCTGGGATCCCATATGGGTGCCGGTTCTAATCCCAGCAGCCCCTTCCCATCTAGATCCCTATCTGTGGCCTGGGAAAGCAGTCGAGGACAGGCCAAAGCTTTGGGACCCTGCACCTGTGTGGGAGACCTGGAGGAAGCTCCTAAGCTCCTGGCTTTGGATTGGCACAGCTCGGGCTGTTGCGGCTGCTTGGGGAGTGAATCATGGGATGGAAGATCTTTCTCTCTCTCTCCTCTCTGTATATCTGACTTTATAATAATAATGTTTTTAAAAAAGGGCCTTTTACGCCCCCCTAAAATATTCCCCCTACAACACTCCTATCTTAGCAGTAAAAAAAACCTAATAAAACTTACAGACTAGTTCAGGATCTTTGAATTATTAGCTCAACTGCTGTTTCCTTACGTCTTGTTGTTCCCAACCTGAATACTCTATTGTCTATCATCCCCTCAACACTACCCATTTTTCAGTCCCAGACCTCAAGGGCACCTGCTTTATTATATCACTACACCCCCAAACCCAAGACCTCTTTGCTTTTATGTAGATAGACCCAGGTTCCCATTTTTCCACCCAATTAACCTGGAATGTGTTCCCACAGGGTTTCTGGGACTCCCCCCTTATTTTTGGCCAAGCCCTGGCCAGGAACCTGTTCCCCTCACCTTCCCTTAATCCAGACTCATCCAGTGCTCATTCAAAGGATCATTTCCTGTCCCGTCCAGCAGGACCGTCAACGGGGGTCGCAACCACCTAGGAGAGAATGGGGGACAAGAGACATGAAGAATGGACAGCAAGACAGGATGTCTGATCAAGCTGTCAGTTTATTGATTTTAATTGAGGGTTTTTATATTCTTCAGTAACTAAGGCTCAGGGAGGAAAGGAGAAACTGGGACGCAAGCCATGGTCTCCAGACCGATTGTTCTTGAGCAGCCACCATATCAACCATAGTAACCAGCATATCCACAATAGCATAGGTAATCAATAATAAGATGTCGGCAGGTACAGCATAAATCACATTCTGAAACACTTGCTAGAAACAATTGAAGCTAAGTGTGATTAGTTTCATAACTTCTTTCCCAAGCATCTAGCCAGCCGGGGATTTTCCACTGGCCCACAGTTCTATATTCAAAATGGCTTCAGTGTGGCTACAGTACACGGCTCCTGATATGGCTTCAGTGTGGCTATAGTACACGGCTCCTGACAATTTCCTTTGCAGCCCCATTGCTGCAACATGGTAGAAGTGCTACTTCCCTCCTGCTACATTCCCTAGCTGGCTGGGGCTATGGAGTTTCACCCTCAAGTCCAGCTGGCCTTGGGACTCCTCCTCACCCCCCACCCCAGAAGTCCATTACCCTAGATAGGAAACACCTGATTTTATCTCTATCCCCCATCCATCACAGAAGACCAGAGCCTTTCCTTCTTGGGAATGACAGGCTTCCTTTGCTCATGGATTCCCAATTCTTCCCTACTAGCTCATCCTCTGTATGATGGAGGGTTTCGCTCTCTGAGCCTCTCTTAACTAGCCGGGTAGAGGCCCCTTCTCAGAAACTCCAGCCAGCTGTTGCTAAGGCCCCAGCACTCCATTTACCCGACCTTATCTGGTCCTTCCTACTATGTTATCGAGAGGTCAGGCTTTGCTATAGGAACCAGAGAGCACCAGCTTGGACCCTCCTTTGCCCCAGTAGCTTACCTGCCTAAGAAATTAGACCCACTGACTTAGGATGGGCCCCTTGCCTTCGCACCCTGGCAGCTGCAGCACCGCTGATCCAGGAATCCAAAAAACTCACCTTTGGCTCCCCACTTACTATCCTATCCGCCCACCATCTCTCTGAGTTACTTACCTGAAAGGTTCTCCAAACTCTACCCGCATTGCGCAGTCTCTCCAGGTTTAACTAGAGAGGACCCCACATTAACCCTTTCAGAGCTGTCCTCCCTTTAACCCCTTCACCTTACCTCCCCTGCCCACTTAGGCTGGAACCCTAACCCTCCCACTCATGCATAAACATCTTGGAAGAACTAATGCCCCACCCATCCTATATGCACGAGGGATCCTTCCCACCGACCCTTACCTGGTTCACAGATGGGGGCACATGGAGGGCTGGCTCTGCCGATACTACTGCAGACACCATAACAGGCCATGAAGAAGGAGCCGACTGAGGGTTGAGTGAAGGTCCTAATTGCTTTCCTCTCTTCTTTATGCTTAGTATGCTTATGTCTGCCTAAACTTTTGTTTCTGATTATTACAGCATATCTGGCCAGAGATTTCTTTTTTTTTTTTTTTAAAGATTTATTTTTATTATCTTTTCATTGGAAAGGCGGATATACAGAGAGGAGGAGAGACAGAGAGGAAGATCTTCCGTCCGATGAGCGCAACGGCCGATGCTATGCCTATCCGAAGCCAGGAGCCTCTTCCGGGTCTCCCACACGGGTGCAGGTTCCCAAAGCTTTGGGCCGTCCTCGACTGCTTTCCCAGGCCACAGGCAGGGAGCTGGAAGGGAAGCGGGGCTGCCAGGATTAGAACCGGCGCCCATATGGGATCCCGGGCGTGCAAGGCGAGGACCTTTAACCACTTGCGCCACCTCGCCGGGCCCATTGGCCAGAGATTTCTAAAATACAGTTGTGGAGCTGTATATCATTTTCCATTTATTTTGCTTTGTTTCCTTGATATTTAGATTAGTACCTCTTTTGTCATTCGTATTATTCTTATGTGTTTTAATTCCTTAGCCTTAATGTTTCTTTGGATGTGATTTGTTGTTTTATCTTTTACGAAGTTTTACGCTGGATGCATTTAGAGTTTGTAAAGTTTCTTTCTTGCTTTTTTTTAAATTATTTATTTGGGTCTGGTGCGATAGTCTAGCGGCTGAAGTCCTCTCCTTGAACACACCAGGATCCGATATATGTGGTGGTTCATGTCCCAGATGCTCCACTTTCTGTCCAGCTTCCTGCTTGTGGCCTGGGAAAGCAGTCGAGGACGGCCCAAAGCCTTGGGACCCTGCACCTGCATGGGAGACCCGGAAGAAGCTCCTGACTTCTGACTTTGGATCAGCTCAGCTCCGGTCATTGTGACCACTTGGGAAGTGAATCGTTGAATGGAAGAGCTTTCTATCTCTCCTCCTTTCTGTATATCTGACTTTCCAATAAAAACAAATAAAAATCTTAAAAAATTTTTACTTATTTAAGGGCCTGGTGTAGTAGCCTAGCAACTAAAGTCCTCACCTTGTATGCTTCAAGATCTCATATGGGCATCAGTTCTAACCCCGGCTGCCCTGCTTCCCATCCAGCTCCCTGCTTGTGGCCTGGGAAAGCAGTGGAGGACAGTCCAAAGCCTTGGGACCCTGCACCTGTGTGGAATACCTGGAAGAGGTTCCTGGATCCTGGCTTTGGATTGGATCAGCGCTAGCTGTTGCGGTCACTTGCAATAAAAAAAAAAAAAGTTTTGTTTTTAATCTTAGGAGGTTTATTCCAGCAGGGCAGGAACTCCAACTCCCCAGCGCCTTCTAATGCAGACCTGGGAGACAGCAGTGTTGGCTGAAGTACTCGGGTTCTGCCACCTGTGTGAGCAACCTGGATCGAGTTCCCTGTTTTTGCCTTGACTTTGATCCCACCCATGCATTGTGAGCATTTAGAGGGTGAACCAACAAGTGAGATCTCTCTCTTTTTGTCTCAGCATCTCAAATAAATAAAGCTTTAAACTAATTTTAAAAAGAGCAT